AAACAAAATTATTCCATTAACATTATACTACGCACCGTGATCGATACAGAAATTGTGTTTATACAAAACAGTTTTACAAACTTGTTCTACAACTTAGTCCTTACCACGAGTTTGATCGTTTATTATTTGTCATTCATAAGCCTTTATTGATAGTATGCGATGATTGAAAAACTGGAGACGCTGCGTATTTTGTTTTATAATACATTCTTGTAGTAAGGATAGCTACTTAATTAATAACTTTCTAACGAATAAAGCCCACGCTTTTTTAATATATCATATATTATACATTGTTATTTTCTACCAAAATACTATTGTATTTTTTAATCGTATGATTGATTTATTTTAAATAGATATGTACTTATTAACAAGTAATTTATACTTTTAACAAACTTTTATTATAAATCAATTCCAAAATATTCTACCTCTTATTCTACGGTTTGCAACAAAAATTATTTATTTACCAAAAATATGTCGTTTATCTCAATATATAGACATTTATTTATACAAAAGATAATATTAAAATTTTCCGCCTACATTTACATTTTTAACAAATATATTTTCGATGCTCGTAATAAACCCAATTCTTTTGTCACACAGTGTCGACTCTCTTTAAGTTGTGGACCACGTATTTAGAGTTTTTAAGTAAAAATAAATAAAAAAACGGAAAAAGTAGAAAAAATATAGTTTATTTATCATTATTTCGCGGTATTACATTAATTATAGATAATATATGTTATCAAAGTGCTATTAAATTATTGCCGATTAATCAATCGTCGTATTTGGTCGACGCGTTGCCGTTTTTAATGTAAGTACTAAGTATTTTTTATATATATATTATTTTTTATCAATTTATAATAAATACAAATTATTTTTAATCTATAGAATTTTGTTTTACTTAAAATTAATACGTTATATTTATTTATTAAATGTCATGTTGATTCGAAATTAAGGTGACAGATGTAGATTGTCATTTTTTTTATTTTTTTTTTATTTGTCAGGACAAAGTTTTTTTCTATTCGGTTCAACTATTATTCGTTTGACACACTCAGATATGATGTTTGTATAAAACATCGCATATCAGTGAACCTAGTTATAAGTACATTGTCAGTCGGTCTGCACATAACGACGCTAGCAAACAGTAAGTTTTTTTGCGATAAATATTTGTAATAATAAAAAAATTAATTTCATATATCAGACGAGTGAAATAGAATTAAAATTTAATTTATTTTTATATGTTATCTGCTTTGATAAGCGAATTTTCGGGAGTGGGTTAAGATTAGTGGAGTTGTAAATAGTGTGTTATTTTACGACACACCCACCCACAAAAATGTTGAAACAATGTTATAAAGATTAAATTCTTAATTGTTTTCGTTCATTTTAAATTGTAATAAACGTGATATTTGCATTATATGTAAATTAAATGATAGTTACTTATTTTTTTTTACATCGTAATGTGATCAAGATCCACAATATAATTCCAAAGTTATTAAAAATATAAAAGTAAATTTGTAACTCTCTTATTATCAACTTTAAATATTTTTTTAATGAAGCCTCTTTATAAAACTACTTATTTTTCAACAATAACATATTAATTCCACGTTAATTTTACGTTATATGAATCTGCAATATTTTAATAAAATACTAGTCTGTATACAACTTCTGATATAAAGACGAAAATTTTAATTAGCGCCAAATTAAAAAAAGGGATAAACAGATTAATAAATGATTACAGATATTACAAAATTGATAACGCAAAATAATATCGGCTTATCGAAAAATATAAGACCCAATCTTCCATGGATTTTTTTATTATATTAATATGAATTTTATTAAAGATTCTGAATTTCTAAATATCCATTTTAATATGATTAAGTAAACAAAAATTTAAACGGTGGGTGACATTTTTTTTATTTTTTTTTATTCAAAAAGTTTAATATGTCAAAGGATTTTTCTTTCAGCCTATGCATTTATACGTACGTCATTTAAAACACTTAAAATCAAAGGCTACCTGTAATAAGTGGTTATAATTATCAGCAGCCTTTATTGATTTATTGTGGTTGTAAAATATATTATTTAATTTTCATAGTAATTTTCATTTATAATATTTAAAAATGGCTGGCAATATTTTATGTTTTCTTGTTTTTTAAATAAAGTTATGCATGTTGTAGTATTATATTAGTGGAAATACAAAATAATCACTATAATATTTAAGAAAAATATTCATCCCTACTAATATTATAAATGCGAAAGTAACTCTATCTGTCTGTCTGTCTGTTACGCTTTCACGCCTTAACCACTGAACCGATTTTAATGAAATTTGGTACAGACATAGAGTTGATCTTGACAAAGAACATAGGATAGTTTTTATCCCAGACTTTTGAAAGGTTCTCTTGGAAACGGGATATAAACGAACTTCACGCGGGCGAAGCTGTAAGCGGAAAGCTAGTATACATATATATCAATTTCTTATTAAAACAAGTATATAATAAATGTGATTGTCATAAACACTTGATATATATAACAATAGAATAGATTCCACTTGAATTAGAAACTCCACGATAATGTTTAAAAGTCAAGGTGGTAGATAACGCAAAACAATTCGTACGTACAATTAGGACAATAATAACTTTTATTATACACAAATTAAATATTGTTAAGTAGAACAGTTGATAAGAATGGCGGTAAAAATTAGAAAGATGGCGCCTGATTTATTTTGATAATCTTTTTTTTGTTTTTTCAACCTTGCTTTCGTATTATTTTAGGCGCTTAACTTGTTTATTTATAATATATTTATGTTAATAATTACTTTTATACTTATATATATTATATAATGGGAGATTTTTGAGTTTAAGATTTTTTTCAAAATTAGGAATTCCTATAAAAGATTAAAAATAACGATATGTAGATAATACCAATTTGTTTACGTCAAATCACTCGGCGCCATATAAACGTTTATTACTGATTAAGAAAACATTAAATTATATATTATCTATAATAAAAATCATATGTTTGTTATAAAAAATACAAATTATCAAGATACGCATTGATTTGTCGATATGTCCTTAAAGGAAAAATACGGGCAACAGGCAAGGCAATGGGAAGAATTTGTATTTAATTATTATATGAAGGTTGAGATTATCAATTCATTAGTGACGCCTGTACTTTTAAACGGGCTTCAATTATTATGCCTACGAATTTGTTATATAGTACACAAAAAAAAAAAATATAAAATTTTTATAAGGTATAATATAAAACAAAAAAAGTATGTATATGTATACTTAAAAAAAATTAACTTTAGATTAAGATCATAATATTGTTAAATTAAATCACATTCTATGATAAAAAAATAATTCCAACACTATTTACTTCATCCACAGATAGATAATGTGAGATATAAAAAAAAAATCAATGTACAAATCTATTTTATCTATAGATAAACAACAAATCAAATAAACATTTCATAAAAAGATAAAAAATGTGAATAGTTCGTTCCGTCGGAGATAATGCCATTTTCCGACAACAGACTTGTCAAAACTGAAAAGTTGAGAAATATAGAAAAGACACAATAACAGACAAAATACATTTTATTCAATGAGTTTAGACTAAAATAAAAATATACTTTAATTAATAGACGTACAAAAGAGGTTCCATTCAATGGTTTTAATAAATAAAAAAAATATATAAACTAAAATTAATAGATTACAAATTTCGCGGTATTCATTAGTCATTTAATGTCATTCATAGTGTATATATTTAACTGGATAGTGTTTGATTGTATTCAGCCAAATATATATATATATATAGGTACATGTTTGTCCCATTACTATTTTCTTTTCAATTTTATTGGTGATACCATAATTCCATAGACTATATGCACTGTGTCTTTTGTTTCAGTCTTTATAAGAGCTAGAAATGAAAATTCTATAATATATTATTATAAATGTATTTAAAACAATAGTTTTTGTTTCTAATAAACGTTACATTTATTCGACACTTACATTTTTTTATAAAATAATATGTATTATAAATTAATAGACAATAATAAATCAAATTTTATAACCAATTGACAATAGAGTAGTTAATTTTTATCAAATTATATAGTAAATAAGTATAAAGATAATGGAAGAAGACATACGAACAATAATAAGTAAAATATTACAACGGAAGTATATAGATAAAAAATTATTAGTCACTCTCGTTTTGTGCGAATAGAATTGAATATAACAATAATTTATATATTTTACGATAAACATCTGGCTGAATAATTACGATCATTACACGTTAATGCCTCGGAACATTTAAAAACGCATCTGGATACCAATGTATTAAACTTCCTACAACAGGAAATTAATGTTTATCCTATTTCCCTTGTAATTTTCTTTCATATTTCCTTCTAACAAAACATATGTCAAGAGAATAACAATACGAAATATTAAGTGACTTTCCTTATGGCGGCAAACGAAAAATATTCCCGCCAAAAAAAAATGTTACCTGTCAAATAATTATTTTTTCACTCTAAATGTACATGAGATACTTTAATTAAAATCATTGTTATATTTTATTATGTTTTTCTTGTAATATTAATGTTATTTTTGGAATGTGTTTACGAGTATTGGAATTCAAACGTGATTTTATACCTGTTTTTATAATTATCATATCTTTATACGAAGGATCTCAACTCGTTTCTAGTTAACGGCATTATAATGTATATGAGGTTTTTTTTTTGCACGGCTTCGATGCCATTGAGTATTGACACACGTGATAGAGTTATTAAGGACAATTTCATATTATCCTGCTTGAGATTATAAACATCACTCTTATTTTCATACATTTATATATACATAAAAAATATTTTGCACATATAAAAACTGCACCTCCTTTGATAAAAAAATAAAAACTCCCGAAGGAAAGATCGCGGCAAAATTTAAAAATAGAACACATTACAGAGTTGGGACCGTCGTGTTTGCCAAACATACGCGTACTAACGCGTGACGTCAGAGATGGATAGAAGCTATTCATACGACCCGGTGTCTACCGGCGCAGTCAACAACCAGGCGCACAGGATGGAGGCAGGGCAGCTGTGGCGGCAATACATCATCGCGGGCATCGGTATGTTCGAAATTTGAATTTCGCCCGCCAATTTCACGTGTTATTTTTTTTTTTTGTTGGTGATGTGAGTGTTTTTTTTTTTTAATTAAGTGCGTAATTTTACAACTAGGTCTACGTTATAAATCCATTTATGTGAAATTCAAGTAAGTTGCGGCTCTATTTAAATGTTCGGAGATTTTTTAATATTTATTAATTAATATAATTACTATAAATATTTTTTTAAATTTAATTTAAATCGCTATACCAAGTGTTAAATCCGCTTGTCTAATCTATATTTAACAACTGTTTTTGTTTCAAAGTTGAAGAGATCAAATGCAAAGTTATTACAGCGGTTGTGATTGATCGAATCATTTGATTTTAAACTCTATTTATAAATTAATACACATTATTATTCTTTGGAGAGTTTATTGAATAATTGTATTCAAAGTTAACAGGTCACAATGGGTGTTTATTTTAAATAGTTTTAAAAATATCTATAAAATAGTGAAGTGTGTGAAAGTCTTTAATAAAGTTAATAAATAAAAGCCGTTGGCATCTAGAAACGGAATAGAATTTAAATTTAGAATTCGAAAAGTGAATCTAAGGTATTTTTTTTAATGCTCTAGTTTTATACGACATGACTAGAATTTATACAGACATAAAAAAATTCGTAAATATATTTCAATTCATTTAAATTTAAATGTTATAATCGTGCTGGACATTAGAAATTATCGAATTTCGTTAATCATTAAAAGAAAATCATGTTACAAATACAATCATATATTTTTTCAAGTTTAAAAAACTATTTAAATTTCATAACTCAACGATAATATTTATGATGTCTGATAAAACTGGCAATAAAATTAAATATTATGTTATATGATACAGAGGTTATCTAGAATAATGAAAAACACATCCATGTTTGTTATACTTACATTTGTATATAGATAAGAAATATATTAAAAAAAAATCATTACCAACACATTTATATATTCGTGGGGGTTATTAAATATTAGTAATAAACTTTTAATGCTTCAAAGAAGGTTATACGAAGGAGTATTTATGTGATTAGGTGGAAGTGATTTAAAAAAAAATACTCCCTAAATAATTAAAAAAAAATGAAAAAAACGGAATACATATATCAATTTATGCTCTAAATAGATTCGTTAATCTATTAAAAATCAAACATATTTTACGAAATGAAATCGCGTAATTTTCTATGTATTTTATTATTTAATAATTATATTTAAATAAATATTATATTTATATACATATTTAGGATTTAATCGTGACCTTCTCTTATATCTATCTGGAACATTGAATTTATTTGCTTTTTGTTAATGAATATATATTATTTACGAAATCTTTCAATGTCACACTATGCCTTTTTTTATGAAGAATCTTGTACGTAATTTTGATTTATATTAAAAAATAAACAAATTATTTTGTTCAGTAGAATATATATAAACCAAAGAGTATTAAACCAACCTCTTTGGTGTTAAAAAAACCAGAGCTTTTATGAAAAAAAAAACCTTTCATGTCAGAATGTCAATCGAAAGAGGTTTCATTGTTTGACACCTTGTTCTGATTTAGCGATACGATAAAATATATCGATATACATATAAAAATATTCCATGTAAAACGTGGAAAACTTAATGTTATCTATATTTTTTTATCTAAACTATGGACGTACGTGAAACTTGCAAGTTTATTATCACGCGCCAATCATATGTACGTGATTATAATATAATATGTTTTCTAATTGAAAAAAAATTGAAATACGACCTCAATGTAGAAATAAATCAAATAGAATAGATATTAATTGATATGAACGAGATTCGAACCTTAAACTTTGAAATACAATTCTAGTTTTTTTATCTACTGAGCTATTATAGTACATAGTTGCTTAGACTTCTCAACATTTATTATAATTAAAAATAAAATTAATTTATTAAATATTTAATATATAAGAATTAATTCCATTTCATTCTACTTCAAATAATGATTTTAAATCTCATAATTATTTAAGTATTTCCCTGTCTAGTATTAACGTTTAAAAACAAAGAATATAAATTATTCATTCACATACTAACAAATGTCCCAAATTTTTCTTTGTAACCAATAAATTGTATATATTTTAATATATATATAAAAAGCAAGTTATTTAAAGCGTGACTATTTAGTTTTTAGTTTTAGTTAACTTAAAGTTTGATAGTATTAAATAAGACTAGGTTCCTCAAAAAATTATTGCAAAATGACAACAAAATTTTTCCTTTTACATATCACGATAGGCTCTATTAGAATTTATTTCGATAGAAAATTCTTTCTTATTATCTAAAATATTTTATATGTAGTTTGTTATATTAAAGAAATAGTATGTTTTCTGGCAAATCGCAAACAAATTGAAACTACCCACTTAATCATAATTTATCCAATAATTATCCGACATACAACAATACGCTCTATAAATATATGTGTAGATTATTAAAAACGTTCCCAGATGTATTAAGACCAGTAGAATTACCAATAATTTTCTTTTTTTTTCTTTAAAATATGCCTTTCATTCGGGCAATGCACAATATATTCTGCCAGTGTCGTGTAGAATGGAAGCACAATCCGGGATTAACTTTTAATTACCAATAATTTTTATATCTAAACGAAATACATTAGAGACAGTTTCGACATATATAAATGAATGAAATACTACAAAGTTTGAAAAGTCTTAAGTAAGGTAACAAATTACGACTGTATTCTCATAAACATATCAATTTTTGTACACTTTTCGCGCCATTTTGAATATTAATATTACATTAATACATTAATGTGTGACGCTGGAAAGGATTGAGAATTGTTCTATTTTATCCTTGGTGATAAATAGTGAGTATGTATTCTCGTAACATGATGAAGAGTAATAAAATGTAATTAGCTCATTGTATGTTAATGTTGGTGACAATCTTTTGACAGCTGTCTTAAATGCTATTGGAACTTTTTGGTTTCAAAACTCTTTGTTCGGTATTAAATTTTGAATTTGGAATTCAATTTAACAAAAGAGTCAAATGAAAAAGTTTGTCATTTGGTTTGTTTTTTAATTAAATGAAGTTACGTTTGTCACGGAAGTTGAGAACTTCTAAGGAATTAATTACAGACACTTACTTACATATTTAATTATACTTAAGTCAGTTGATTTTGTAAATTTTTTTTAACCATATAAAAGATAAGAGATAATGGTGTATAATTAATTTTTTTTAGTACTTGTCAATATTACGAAGACGTAAAATCAACAAAACTAAATTAAACAAACAATTCATACATTCTTACAGTAATACTTACTTAAATATACATGGAAATTATTAAACAAGCGTGAAAATAATGTACCTGCAATCAAGATAATAACACTTCTATTGTTTTGAGTGAATACGACTTCTTGTTATAAATGCATTAATTGGAGACGTTTTGTAGTTCGGAAAATCACCAATAGATGGCGCTGTTTAAAATATTTTAAAAATCCGTTTATATATAAATCATTTGACGTCATGATCTATAATCATTTCGATCAATCACACATACCGGAATTACATAATTGATAATGATTTATTAATTTATCTAAATAGGTTAAGGATTGTTTTTTTTAATTTATAAAGTCTAAACAGACTACAGTCTGAAGTGCTACGAACTATTTTATTGACATAAAATATTATTACAAAATGAAATTTATATAATATAATAATACTATATTTAATATCTTCAAAGGAATCTCTAAAATGAAATTTCTATAGAAAATTATAATATAAATTAAGTGAAAGTGTGTATATACATATATATACTATATGTTTTGCATAACAAGTCGAAAGGAATTACCATGTCAAAACTATTTGGGAAAAAATAGAATTAGTGATACATTTTTGTATTTTAAAAATATTTATAATAATTAATTTTATTACTAATATAGTTATTGACACATTCATTCCCAATTATTATGTTTTTTTTTCGATCGTAAATATACATACATATTTTATTTCGATACTTAAACGACTAAAGCAAGCGAAATGTTTTCGAACGGTCAAAGGTATTTGCTACATAAAATTTTGGTTTTAAAAAAAGACACAATACAGGTTATAAGAAGTTTGCAAAAATTTACATTTCGCAATATTTATATATGTATAACCTGAGAAACTTGTTTTGCCTTTTTTAGTTCCATTTCATTCACGTGAATAAACTGATATAAAAACGAATCTTCCAAAAAATATTCAAAACAAAGCATAAAGGTTCAAAAAGTCTTAAATTAAAGATTCAATGAATTATATTGTTTCATATTATTACTTATTTCAATACTTTTAATTTATTTTTTTAACTGTAACGTGTATAGTATTGTACAATAAAACCTAGATTAAAACATATTTTTATAAAAATAAACATAAAAAACTAAAATATTGAACATTAAATATTTTCTTTTGTTTTTTAGTCCAATAAGGAAAAATATACGAATTTATAATTATATATTATATATAATAAATATATCTCAAAAGATATAAAAATAAACACACATAGTGCGCATGCGCATATTTTTGTTTCAATGTATGCAGTATGAGACTATATATATGTATGTATGTATGTATTTATAGTTTAAATAAAGTGTACTCCAAGTCGCGATGAGATATTTGAAGACAGGATATAATCTATGATCGCTCACCAGCAATCAAGAATCACTATGAAGTGAAAAATAACCGACCTCGTATATATTGTGATACTAAAAATAAACCTACGTACTATACAATGATCATTCTATAAGTAATATTTTTAATAATAATTTTCAATAAAAAAAATCGTGAATTGTTAATAAAATATTAGTCAAATATGCATATTTTTAAGAATATATTTGTACATTTGCAAGCAATTAATTGTCTTTTTATATATTACGTTCATTGTGTTTAAAAGAATTACAATTTGCAATTCCACTTAGAGAAGTAATTAAGAATTAGGCTGAGAAGTACGTTTTAGAATAACAGTGGGATAAATATAGACTAAGATATATAAGAGTATTATTATATATTTAATATTAAATCAATAGATAATATTTGTATCTAAAATTATACCTATATATGTCAAAAAATTGCTGAAAACGAGCAGGATTAATAGTTGTCTTTACGTCAACCTATCTTGCAAGTTAATCTGAATCATAGTCTAGTAATTTTTTGTTTGGTTATTATGTATAGTTTTGTTATATTATGTACTTATTATATATGTGTTTTATTATGTTTTCAACAGCGAATATCGCGATAGCTTCCACCGGTTATTCTATGGGATGGACCTCTCCAATCAATGGAAAGTTATCAGATAACACAACAGATATTCTTGACGAACCCGCAACACCAGATGAACTAGCATGGATGGGGTCGGTGCTTAATATTGGAGCTATATTAGGTAACTAAACTCATCATCATCATCATCATCAGCCTATCAAAGCCCATTTCTGAGCATAGCTTTTCATATTGAGAAGGTTTGAGCATTAATCACCACGCTTGCTTAACGGGTTGGTGATTTCAAACTTATAATTTGATATAAGACAAGTCAAGGTTTCTTCATGTTTTCCTTCATCGTAGAGTACTATAGCGTAACCAAAATATATTGCGAATAAGGACACTCATAAACATTGATATCAAGGCCTGATTTTGGCAAATACTTTGAACTTTTCCTTCCTCAAACCTTATTTATCTGACCTTAATAAAATATTCGTTACTTTTGCAAGGAAATCTATGTTATCATAAATGTTTTAGCAGGTATTGCCAACTGCACACAATTCAAAGAGAAATTATCGTCCTAGTAGACATTATAGACGAATATGTATAATAAATGGCCTAGTTGTTAAAAGTCCCGCTTCTCATGCATGAGGGTTCAATCCTGGCGAGCACCAATGTAATTTCCGAGTCATATGTACTTTCTAAGAGTATTTAGACATCACTGATTAATGCATTCCCAATGAGGGTTGATATTTACGGCGGCCGTAAAAACAATTAGCCAAAACTGTACAACATGTAAAGCAGACCCTGGCTATAGCGGGGAAATTGCTAGACGAAGAAGATGTATAATGAATTCAATGTTTTTTATTTCTAGGTCCATTTATCGGAGGTTTCTTGGCTGGTAGAATTGGTAGGAAATGGGGTCTTTTGAGTTCAGCGGTACCTTTACTTCTTGGATGGATACTCGTAGCAGCTGTACAGAATATGGCCTTTTTGTACGCAGCCAGAATCTTTTGGGGCGTCGGAGTGGGAATGCTTTTTACCATATCGCCGATGTATTGCGCTGAAATTGCTACGGTAAATAATTTTAATGCCATTTATTAATATAATTCTTTCGTATTACGTTTTGATATTTAATATAGATTTTTTTATAACTATTTGCTTCAATTATCAACTTTTTATATTATTAGAATATGGTTGATAGATTAAAAAAAAAATTACGTCAAGTTCAGTAACTGTTACTTGCGATTTAAATATACCATAACTAATCTATCTACATGAGACTAAGTATTTCGGATACTACACTTTTTTATCTCTAAATGTAGTTTTAAAAACTTAGTTACATTTAAATATGTACACGCGAAAATATTATACGTATCTGTATATTTGCCTAAAATTACACTGCAAACAAAAAGCGTAGTCACATTGCAAACTAAAAATGAAAAGTTTTTTATAAATATATCTTTGGCAATTACAGTTTTAACATAGATTAATGAATTAGAAATGAAACACTTAAGTGTGACATAGATTTAATTTGCACTAATATTGCTTTAAAATGCTTGAAAATCTACAATTAATTTGTCTCTTGTAAAAAAAAATGTTTTAATTACAACTTACACGTTGTTCATATTAATTATAATGTTATTTGCTCTTGTTATAAAATGATATTACATTTTTTTCAAACAAACAATGATGATTACTCTGGTTGGTAAATTAATATATATTTGTTCAATTCATATTTTAATACTTTCAAATAAAACAACTTAATATCTTTCTGCTTATAAAATATATTACAGAGTTCATTTGTTATCATATAGAAAAAAATTCCTTATTGTAATTAAGTACGCATGAACTCTCGAGATTTGGTAAACATAAGCGTAATGGAAAAAATAAGATATTAAAAATATATTACTTGTGTTTTCCTTATCTTGAACATTAGGAATCGGTAACGTCCTTGCATATATTTATATATTTATTTACACGCTTTATCATACATGTAATTACTACTATAAAACTTTGTTTGCTATGTCTAGTTTACTTGATGCCAATTTTTATATAGACTAAGCCTTATAAGCCATTTTTAAGATACTTAAAAACTATTCACTATGTATACATAATTCGGAGTTTTAATTATCGTGATAAAATTTGTACATGATGAAAGAACATGACGTAAAGTCAGTGGTGGCCTAGTGGTTAAAATCCCGCCTCTCATACATGAGAGCGCGGGTTCGATCCTGGCAAATACCAATGTGATTTTTCCGAGTCATATGTTCCTTCTAAGAGTAGTTAGACATCACTGATTTATGCATTCCCAAAGAGGGTTGATGTCAGGCAGGCGGCCGGTCGTAAAAACAATTAGCCAAAACTATTCTCAACATGTAAGGCAGACCCTGGCTAAAGCTGGGATAAATTGCCAGGTAGAAAAAAGAACATGACGTACATTCAATTAATTTTTTCTATCAACTGACTTGTAACTTATTAAAGATACGCTAATTCGTTCATTCGTTCATTCTTTCTTCTCATTCCTTCTAGAACGAGTCTCGAGGTGCCCTGGGTTCGTTCCTCCAGATGTTCATAACCTTAGGTTACATCCTGATCTACGGTATTGGACCTTTCACATCGTACATGAACGTAGCCTACGTTGGCATAGCCTTCGTAGCAGTCTTCGCTGTAGGATTCTTCTTCATGCCGGAGACACCAACATACCACCTTCTTAAAGGTAAAGTTTTGACTATTCGACTAACCAAACTATACCAAATCTAATTTGTACTAGGTTATTACCTCATTTACCATTCAACGTATAATTTAATGCCAATTGTAGACGTACTCTTCTGTAAAAATACAATATCTATATATATATATAAAAGAAAGTCGTGTTAGTTACTCCACTTATAACTCAAGAACGGTTGAACCGATTTAGCTGAAAATTGGCAAGGAGGTAGTTTAGAACCAGGAAATTGCAATAGGATACTTTTTATCCCGTTCGACAGCATTCCCGTGGGACTTGACATGAAACGTCAGTCACTATAAAACGTGGAATAACGAAACACAATTGACAGCTATGCAATTGAAATATAATGACAGATATGTAATGACGTTATGATGACAATTAGATATTTGTAAGAGATCTACTTAGAACAAAAAAAAATTATCAACTTTTAATCACCAAACGAAATGTTATATAAAAGCCTTCTGGTGGCGAAACGGAGTTCGGCAGGTTTACTAGTTATATATACAATTGAAATTAAAATTAAACGAGAATATTATATTTCGTAGATTGCTTGTTCAAATATTTTAAATGTATTTTTCACTCAATTGTAAGTCGAGTTAAAACAAAGACATAACATTCACAAACATATCATAGGAATTATTGCTATTCAACTCCATTTAGATAGAAAAACATATGCTAATAGCATGTAATATAATGATAATGATATGATATGAACAATGATATGATAATGATGAAAATGTCAGGCGATCGTGAGGCGGCTGCGTCTTGTCTTTGCACAATCCGTGGTCGTTCGAGGGATGGTGTTGAAGATGAACTGAATCTCATTGAGAGTGACGTTAAAGCTTCTATGGAAAAAACAGCAACGGTACGAATTTAACATATATTTTATAAGCTACATGAAAAGTTATTACCAAATATGTATATTTTAATATTTTTTTCAGGTAATGGACGTATTTCAAGGCAGTAACTTCAAGGCTTTCTATATATCTTGTGCTTTAGTGTTCTTCCAGCAGTTCAGTGGTATAAACGCTGTCCTGTTCTATATGACTGATATCTTCGCTTCATCTGGTAGTGATCTTAAACCAGCCATCGCAACCATCATAATCGGAGCCGTTCAGGTACGTCTTAGACTTTCGCTTATAGATCACACGAATTCTACAAACGATATGTTTTAATATTCCATAGACAACTTGAAAATTTCTTAAGATATTGAAATTATAATCAAAGGAAAGATTTGCTGGTACATACCTATTGATTTAAGGAAGTCAGGATATATATGTGTTATATATAAAAACTCCTGCAAAACTGCTTGACAGATTCTCAAGAAATTTTGTGATCAAATTGAGTACGTCTCAGAATCGGCCAAAATCTATTTTTCATACACGTTATTGGTAAGGGTTGTAGACCATAATTTTTTTTATATATTTTAGTTTACATTTCTTTTATAATCTGGCATTAAAAAATACATACAACCCTATTTTTTTTACTTTTTCGTCACCAACGCCTATTTTTTGTAAGGCAAAACAACGTATGCTTTGTCAGCTAGTATATTATTTTACATCTCGTCTGCCCGTGATCACGGTTGCTGAAAAGTAGCCGAAACGTCGGGAGTATGTAGTTTCTAATCAAAAATAAAACGCGAAGTAAAATCCGAAAATATTAGTTTCATTTAGTATAATATATATTTGTCCTTCCAACAGGTTGTAGCTTCATGTATAACTCCCGTGGTTGTAGACCGTCTTGGCCGCCGTCTTCTATTGATGGTCTCCGCTTGTGGTACAGCAATTGGAGCCGTGAGTATTGAACATTTGTTTTCATTAAATATTCCAATACACTATATGTGTTGATGTCGTTAAAAACAGTTAGCCAAAACTATTCACAACATGTAAGCCAGACCCTGGCTAAAGCTGGGAAATTGCCACGTAGAAGATTCTTATACACTATATCTTAATGGAGCTGTCTTTATCAACATTTTGAAATCAGTCAATCTTAATACAATTTTTTCACATGAACACATTTTTTCACATGAACACATGTAATGATATACAAATATATGGAAAAAATCGATGTTTATGTATGAACTCTAGTATAATAAGAAAGTACGCTAAACACAAGGGCACAGTCAGCAAATACGAAGTGTTTCATGTTTATCCTTCAACGACCAATATTAATGCTATAATATACAAAGTTTTGTGAATGAAGTTTCAAGTAGGAAACTTGTGGTAGATAGATTAATGTCCAGAAAAATCCTTTATCGCGATAATATTTAACACCTAAATCATTATATTTTCTTACTTTTTTACTGTTCAAATGAAATATCTGACCAGATTTATCCAGGACACATTAAAGAGTAGATTATTGTATATTGCCTTATAACAAAAAATCAATCTTATTTTTTTTATTTCTCCTCAGGTATTGCTGGGTATGTTTTTCCTACTGCAGCACAATGGTAGCGATATTGTAGTATCTATCAGTTTTCTTCCTATCCTGTCGTTGGTGCTGTTCATTGTGACGTATTGTTGGGGTCTTGGCCCTCTACCCTGGGCGGTGATGAGCGAACTATTCCCGATAGAAGTTAAGGCAGTAGCTTCACCAATAGCTACGGCGTTTTGCTGGACGCTATCCTTCCTGGTTACCAAGTGAGTTATAATTATAAGAATAAGAAAAATGAGACGAAATTCCTCAGCATTCAATGGATTCCGCGTGAATCGCAAGTCCATGGAACTGTTAAAGCCACTCTTCCTAAAACCTGTTGGACCCGGCATCCGTACCGTGAATCCATGGAATTCTAAGGGATTTCTTCTCTTAACATTTTTTTTAGAGAGACTTAACTTATCAGTCAGTCAGTGGTGGCCTAGTGGTTAAAGGGCCCGCCTCTCGTTGCTGAGGGCGTGGGTTCAAACCTGGCAAGTACCAATGTGATTTTTCGGAGTCATATGTACTTTCTGAGAGTATTTAGATACCACTGACATACGGTGAAGGAAAACATCGTGAGGAAACCTGGACTTATAGTTTCACAATTATAAGTTTGAAATCACCAACCCGTTAAGCAAGCGTGGTGATTAATGCTCAAACCTTCTCCATGTGAGAAGAGGCTCAGCAGTGGGCTCTGATAGGCCGATGATGATGAAATTTTTTTTGCAAATAAACTTCTTTAATAAAGTTTTATCATCAGGATTTGTGATTTAATTGTTAAGATCTTTATCACGTGTAACTATTCTCCAGATTCTTCCCGTCTTTGGACCGTCACGTTGGCTTCCTCATGTTTGGAGGTTGTTGTGTCGCAGCGTTTGCGTTCTCACTGCTAGTTGTTCCAGAGACCAAAGGAAAAAGCTTCTCCGAGATACAAGACATGCTGGCTGGGTTAGTTTGATCATGATTAATATAATTTTTATTATAGAGCTACTATTATTATTAGTTTTGTCAGATTTAATATCGAGAAAATCAACTGATTTCTGAAAGTCAGTTACACAATTTTTTATTAAGTCAGTAAATTCATAAACAATTACACTGTTTTCCTCATGAAAAATAACTCCAGTTAATATAACTATATTTAGAAATATGAAAATATTTTTTGGACCTGTCGATTTTTTCTATTTTAATAGCATTCTATAATTTTTGCTTCTTTTTTTGCAGGAAAAAGAGACAAGAAAAGGCCTAAGTTATCATTTTTATATAGTAAAATGTTGCTAATTTATTGTGTTACTACTTACGTTAAAATGACTTTTGGGACCAATTTATACGCTAGCTATTGTTTAAATTTGTATTATTAATTTTGTTATCACATAAAACGTGTGAAATATATAACATTAAAATAAAAATTGGCTTTAATCTTAGTTCGGTTTATTTTTTAATCGTAAATTTTAACCGAATTAATGAATTTTACTTTCGTAATAATCAAATTTTTTTGTCCTGACAGTTGACATATTGTTTGAAAAGTCAGCTAAAAAAATTTAAGTTCTTTTTGGGAAAATGGAAGCCATAAATAAATTGTGACATTTTAAAGACCATTGTCAAAAGAAAGTTTTAATAATTATATCGAATTTCATGTTATACGTGAATTGTTTTGTAAGACTACTATTTAGGTATTTGCTACTATATAATATACGTGTTTTGATATAAATGTATCAAGAAATATTTACTGCTACAATAAGTTAGAGTACAAAGTACTAAATTATTATATGTCTTCATAACTATATTATAATTTTCAGTCATGTTTAATATTATCTTTTTATTTACAAAATGAAATATAAGAGTTTTTATTTGTAAATATTTTTATGATCTTTTGTGATATTGTTGTAATAAAATTGTTGGAAATACTTTTCTCTTTTTTTCTATCAACTTTTATTTACGTCGACAAACACAATTGTTAAAACGAAACTGTTTTTTTTTCTGAAATAAACACCGAAGCAGACTTCAACTAATATGTTTTTCTTGCAAAATATTTTTTATGACGGACTTATATTTTAAAAAAATAATTTTCATTGCAGCTTCATATCACAGTAAAATACATAATGCAGAAGTGTTGGCAGTTTTAATTATTAAAATAAATAAAGACGCCTGTGGCAACACATTTCTTCACACTTATATCTAATTGCTCCATTTCTGATAAACTATTTTTGATATTTTCTGTAATGTCTTTATTTTTCTTCTGATAATATAGCCATCTTGACGAAAACTCAGTAGAAATTATCATGCTGAACAATCTAAGCAATTTATGGAGACGAGTGGTTCTCGGGATAAACAGTGACAAGACCAAAGTTAGAGTAAATAGTCATCTTTCATATCGGTGGCCTTAAAAGGTACTCTAAAAATTATGAAGTAATCTATCTAATAAAAATGATATAGTTTTGTCGACCTACCATTGGAAGAATACGTTTGGAAGAGTAAGCTATTTTATGTTCTGGAGTTAGCTTTTATACAATATATTAACTCCATAGTTTGCAACTAGTACGTCCTATCAATTTCAACCGACGAAATACAAACATACACTTGTTCAGAGAGCATGTTCATTAATTCAAGTTTAATGAAATAAATTTTAACTTTCACTCAGATTTTAATATTATGAAGAAATCAGACAAGCCAAAACTCCACAAAATTAAAATCACCAATATCGTGATAATGCCCTGGAGTGGAAATAGACCAGTTAACTCCAGGTTATAAGGTTACGAGTAGACAGGAGTCTACGTTTTGGTGTACTTAGTGCAAGATGTCCGAGGTCCCGGGTAATGATTGAATGTGGTCTACCCAGAACAGAGACACTTTGAGTGGAATATACAGAAAAATCGTGAAAAAATGAACATTGTTATTTTTAGAACGCACTTCCAAGGCATCCCTATTAGGTTCTTTTCAAATTTGGTTAGGTAAAGAGAGGAGCTTGGATGGTGGAGGTGAGCATTTTACGCGCGTTAGATAGGGACACCTTAAACCTGCATCTGGATCGCATGTCCCAGAATTCGCACAGTAAAACAGAGAGAGTGAGAGCACTTTTGGAGCTCTTCTTCCTGCACTGCAATAGACCCGGCCGCGGCACCCACACGGTGAAACCATTGAATGCTAAGAAGTTTCTTCTTATTGACCAAATTCGTATGATGACTATAAATACAAAAAAGTATTAACCCAGTCTCTGTTAAGCGACTTTTTATAGTTAAAGGACCATAACTTTATGGGACAACTCATATTACGTGGCGCATGTTTATACGGAAGGGAAAAAATTAATGTAATTCATTTGAAATTTAAAGCCTAAATATTCAATAAGAAAACTAAGAGATATATACGACATAAAAATTAATGTATTATATCGTAGGGCGTTAGTGGCTAGCTATAAATTTTTATCAAAATATGACGTTCATCACCCACACGAGTCGGTACTTATACTAAGGCAAGGCGATAGATAAAATTATTTTAAAAGTAGTATTTAGGTAGAACTTATTCGCGCGCGAATTATGGAGACTGGGCAGTTATGGCGGCAATATGTGATCGGGGGCATAAGTATGTATGATATTTTAATATTTAACTACTAATTTATTTTTTAGTGCTATACTTTGAAAAACATAATACTGAAAATTAATACGATAGTATATTAAAAATATAGTATTCAAATTGGTAGATGTATTTTAAATATTTTTAAATGTTAAATTTATGTTTCCTTTTTTATTTTAATTTTCTTTTTCTTATTTATTTTTTACCAAATAGGTTTCACCTGTAATAGATTTATCATTATACGTATATAACACCTGTGTCAGCTTATTATTTTGTAAGGAATATTTTTAAAAAATTATCGCGATTATGATAATCAATTCATTTCAAATAATTGTAATTTAAATCAGTAAATTGGATTTAAATGATAAATTATATAATTCTGTGAAAAATATTTTTTTCATATAAACTGGTGAAAAATATCATACTAGGTACTACATAAAAATTTTTGCAAATACTTCCACTTGCCTAGATTTGAATAAAAATAAACACAGAATTATATGTATATATCTAAAAATATTCGTCCTTATTGAAATATCGTACGAAATTTAATTTATTGGATATCTTAAATATTATCACTTCCGTTCGATCTTGTTGTAAATATATTTAAAATAAACACATTTTATTTTCGATACAACATAAATTTTACGTGTTTCTCCAAATTTTCAAAACATTATATGATTATATTGATTGCGTCTTCGATAACGCGGCCAATAAATTTGTGTATGACGATAAAAAGGTTATCTGCAATAATAATAAAAAACATACCTATTGATGTCTGTAATCGGCGTGTTCGTTTTATACAGATAACAGAGATATAGAAATGATAAAACTCTGCTTGAATCTTCATTTCGAATTCCACAGAGGAGATTAGGAAATAGGAATATTCCACTGAATCAAATTTTGTCCAATATTGAGGTTTTTCAGAAAATAATAATTGAGCATTTTAGTTTAAGAAACGAACCGTATAATCTTCTTCTTCTTCTACCTGGCAATTTCCCAGCTTTAGCCAGGGTCTGCCTTACATGTTGTGAATAGTTTTGGCTAATTGTTTTTACGACCGGCCGCCTGCCTGACATCAAAGTTCATATGACTCGGAAATATCACATTGGTACTTGCCTGGATCAAACCCGCGCCCTCATGCATGAGAGGCGGGCCTTTTAACCACCAGGCCACCACTGACTTGACGAACCGTCTAATCAGTTCTTTTAAAACTAATGCAAACGAAACTGATATTTGTCGGATAAACTAAGTGACTTTATTTTTGTAAAAAACTACATACTCCAGCCATTTCGTGATCACGGTTGCTGAAAAGTAGCTGAAACATTGGGTGTATGTAGTTTTTACAAAAATAAACTAATATTTAGTATATCCGAAAAATATTAGTTTCATTTAAATAAATAAAACTCGCGAAAATCTTAGATATCTGTCAAGACTATTGTTATGAATTTATGACCAGGAAAATACCTATCTATAAGAGTGCTTGTCTCAAATATATTTAATAAAGAAATCGAATATTTTCCTGTTAAATTTCATTTTTTAAATAAAAATATTCTTTTTATCTTGCTCTCCCATTTCGCGCAAAACAAATGTAAACAAGTATGATTTTTTGATACATTTTGTGTTTATTTAAACAATTACAGACACTTTTTTTCCTGTTATGATATTGACCTTTTTATTACAGAGATTATAAATCATAATATAATATTGTAGGTAACAGTTAACTTTATAACTGACATAGTAAGTGTAATATTTAACGGATGTTAAATCAAAAATAATAATAATAATTGAAAATTGACAAATAAATAGTCGAAGAATATAAACTTTTGTATTTTTATCATCCGTTTGTGACGTCATATTTTTCATTTCATTCACGTAAAATACTTTAACGTATGTTATATTAGTACTATAATAAAGATTTATGAATGAAAAACAAAAGGAAAAAATAAATTTCGGTTTATAAAAGGAGGTTGCAGGAATTAAGATGTGCAATTCCTGAACACACTTCAAAGTATATCCTGTAGAATACAAACAAACGAAGAAGAAATCAGACCATTGAAACAAATCCTCAGTTAGTTGTGTAATGATAAAAACAGGGAGTAAGAAAACTTATTGTGTTGTTTTAATAGCACTGGAGCAATAGAAATTATGAGAAGTTATGAGAATCTTTTAGAACGGGAAAACCTTTGGCACTCAAAACCAAAGCAAAAAAAGCATACATCCTGACAGTTTATGAGCATTTATAATATACTATTTGTACGGAACACTCATTGCTTAAAATAAACTCGCAATTGACTGTATTATTATCCTCTAAGATAACTCAATTCCGATATCTATATATCAACTGAATGTCTATTTATCTTAAGTTACTTTACTATTTTTAAGATATGAATCATGTAAACGTCCACAGAATCTAAATAAACTGTTTTCTTAAATATGTAACAGGAAAAAATTATAAAAATTATCTTATCACAGCATTTAAATTTTAAAAAAAGACATGTGTTTCATTCTTGCTCCCCTTTTAATGGGAATGAAAATTATTTTAAGGAAATCATACGTCGACAAATAGATCGTCTATTCAACTCAATGCCAATTATAGTCAATGCTTAACTGAAGTTTTACAAACCTAAGATAAAACACGTATTGCAAGTCACCATGAGACAGGATATAATCTATAATCGCTCAGCAGCAATCAAAAACAACTGTGAAGTGAAAAATAACCGACCTCGTATTTTGTCACACTAAATCTACCGTTTATGTAACATTCAAATTACATGTAAATGTTTTATAATAGCTGCATTATTATTCAATAAAATATATCTAATCAACTAATCGGTTCATAAAATTATGTATTTTATATGACAAATATTACGTATACGTTTGTAAAAAAATTGTAAACAATAAATAATAATTTAGTACTTTAGTAATAAAATACAGACTAAGAAAATATGTAATAACTTATTAATTAACTATTTATGTACTAAAAATACGCCATAATAATAGAAATCAATTTATTGATACAATGAGGGTAGGTCAATTAAATTTAATGAATATTAGTCTTATAACGAAATTTTATTAAATCACTACTAATATTATAAAGGCGAAAATAACTCTGTCTGTCTGTCTGTTAGGCTTTCACGCCTGAACCACTGAACTGATTTTAATGAAATTTGGTACAGAGACCTTGAGAAAGAACATAGGATAGTTTTTATCCCAGACTTTTGAAAGGTTCTCTTTGAAACGCGATATAACCGAACTCCACGCGGACGAAGCTGCGGGCGGAAAGCTAGTAGTTATATATATTCTCTTATAAAACGTTTATTCTTCTGACAGCAAACATCATGATTACATCCACCGGTTATTGCTTGGGATGGACCTCACCAATAAATGGAAAACTATCTGACAACTCGACTGAAAGCGGAGTCCTCGATGAACCAGCGACCACTGAAGAACTAGCGTGGGTCGGATCACTGCTCAACATAGGAGCTATATTTGGTAACCAAAATATGATAAACAAATTCTATTAACTCATTTAAATGATACTAATATTTTTCGGATTTACTAAACGTGCTTTATTTTTGTAAAAACTACATACTCCCGACGTTCCGACTACTTTTCAGCAACCGTGATCACGGGCAGATGAGATGTGAAATTTTATTCTAATTATTAACTCGATTATGTTTTTATGGAGATAATTTTTATTTAAATAGTCTCTATATTTTTGTTATTTATTTCTAGGTCCATTTGTGGGGGGTTTCTTGGCCGGTAGGATAGGCAGGAAATGGGGTCTTTTAAGTGCGATCATCCCTTTTGTGGTTGGGTGGATACTTATAGCTGTGGTACAGAATATAGCCTTTTTGTACGCAGCCAGAGTCTTTTGGGGTGTGGGAGTGGGGATGGTATTCACCATATCACCGATGTATTGCGCTGAAATTGCTACGGTAAATACTTTATTATATATTTTTAGTTTCATTTTTGTTATAAAACTCACATAATAGCATTAACAGTTATAATTAAACTGAGTATTTATGGTTGTAACTCGTATATATGGTTACATACTGCCAGGGTTACAAAAATGTACTTAAAATTACAGGCATGCACATCGATTTTTTTATATGTAATATTAGTTGAACCGCAACTAATAGAAGTCTCTATTTATATTATCTGATTAACAGCTTTTCACTAAACTCATCTGCGTTTATTAAATATTAATCCACACACTAAAATTCAATTTAAAAAGTACACAGACAAGAAATGTCATAAGGACTACCTTAGGCTAATTTTTGGCCGATTTTAAAATGAAGGATCTCATTTCGACTGTATGTTAGCTACGCTAATATAGCTCATTATAATTTTTTTATTAATATCAGTTTCATAATCGTAGGACAGTCCAATTTTTACCAAGTCAGGATATTCTAAAAAGTTTTTCGGATAGTTATAAGCGAAATAGCGGTACGTTATTTTTTAAATTTTCCAAATGTTTCGATTAATTATTTGAAAGCAGCCATGATCACGGCAATTTAAAAAAGTAAAGTTTTATATTTAATAACCAAACCGGACATTAGGTTTAAAAATTTTACTAATCCTCACGGACATCGCTGTTTTATTTTTGTACATTATGATAGAAGTTTAAAAAAACAAGTAATCCTTTCATTAATTTTACCTTGAATATCATAACTGATCATCAATCACCATTATCCCTTGCATTTATTAAGATTAAAGTCTTAAAAGATTATAACAATATTCTTGTCACAAATTCGGATGGAAGGAGGAAATATTGCCAAAAAATTAAAATACAAGCACTCTGTTTCGATTAAAAACTAAATACACATTATTCAACCCAATACGTTCTAGTAAAGTTTTGAATATACATTTCTTATAATAAATATTATTTCTGGTATTGATGAGCAATAAATTTGTGCTGAAATCTTGCTTGAAGGTTTTGACTTTGGTATACAGCAGTCTTTCTTGAATTGGGCACTTTAGGCCCAAATTGGGGCAGTCAGAAACCCAAAAAAATGGTAGCATTTGAAGAGGTGGGGACGGGGTTGTAATTTCGTTTAGCTAGAATAAGTCATAGTAGTTTTTCAGTAGGTGAAAAATGGGGGTTCTATAAAATAATCTATTCTCAAGGTAGGCAGTAGACAAAATAAGTTTTTCAACTGATCTGATCCCAAGTTAGTGGCAATGAGAAATAGTTTCATAGTGTTGTAGTTGATCTATTTAGAATCTCCACACATCTGGCGATCGTATTTTTTTATTTATCTTTGTACTTAAATGTTAAGATATGATTTTTGTGGAATATCATGGCTATCATATATTGACATGATTCTGTCACGATGGCGTTAGAAGATTGAGTTTTTGGTCTTAGTTATCGCCATACTTCTTTGTTCAAATACTAATTTGTCTATTTTAAGCCTGACATTTTGGGCAGCCTTATATACTGCTCTATGAATACTTTATTTTTTTTATTATTTCCACGGTTGTTAGCTTTTTATGGAAAAAAGATTATTGTTTTTAATATGGGCGATATTTTGACTACGTCTGAAACTTATGTTTTGTAATAAAATAAGCATACTGAGACTAATATGATTGTATAAATTCTTACCTGCTAATATATCTGTTACAAGATAATCGGCTTCTATTCGAAGTTAATATTAACCACTAACGAGTAAGATAACTAAAATACCGGACATTTAGTTATTTCCTTACTGTTTTTTTATATAAATAGGCCATAATATAATATCTGCTAGATTGTACATAAGAATAATATTCGATAACTTTCTTCTTTTCATACTTTCAGAATGAATCTCGAGGAGCACTGGGCTCATTTCTCCAGATGTTCATAACCTTTGGCTTCTTGCTGGTATACGGAATTGGACCTTTTATTTCCTACCTGGAGGTTGCTTATGTAGGCATAGCCTTTATGCCGGTTTTCTTCATTACCTTCTTCTTTATGCCGGAAACACCAACTTACTGTCTTCTGAAAGGTAAAATTGATGCTATTATTATTAATATTTATAAAATTAAAGTAATATGACCTCAGTTACTTGTAAATTTTCAGAATTGCATATGTTATATTAAATTTCATTTAACATATTTGTTTATTTGCTAAAGAAAATCCTGTAATTGTTCTTATTTTCAATGGGTTTAATTAATATGAGCATTCAAACTATGTATGATAAAAATTGTACTGGTAACATGTACATTGTTTTGTTGACGATAGTATAATGATATGATTATGATTTATGACACTTTATAATGATAATGATACGATAATGATGAAAATGTCAGGCGATCGTGAGGCAGCAGCGTCTTGTCTTTGCACAATCCGTGGTCGTTCGAGGGATGGTGTTGAAGATGAACTGAATCTCATTGAGAGTGACGTTAAAGCTTCAATGGAAAAAACAGCAACGGTACGAATTTAACGTCGTTTTTATAAGCTTTATGAATGACTTATTACTAAAGAAATGTACTAAATTTGAATCTTTTAGTTCAAAGATATTTTCCGAGGCAGTAACTTCAAGGCGTTCTACATATCGTGTGCGCTTCAATTCTTCCAGCAGTTCAGTGGAATTAACGCTGTGCTGTTTTATATGACTGATATCTTCGCTTCATCTGGAAGTGATCTTAAACCAGCCATCGCCACCATCATTGTTGGAGCTGTCCAGGTAAAAACTTAGAACTTTTCTATTTTATACATCTAGACCTTATAAATCTCTGATATATTAGGCTTTTCTCACGATAAATATTCTCAAAACTGTAATTCCCTTAAACTTAATTATCTATATTAAAATTTAGTAAAAAAATTATCCCTACTAATATTATAAATGCGAAAGTAACTCTGTCTGTCTGTCTGTCTATTGCGCTTTCAGGCCTAAACCACTGAACTGATTTTAATGAAATTTGGTACAGAGATAGAGTTGACCTTGAGAAAGAACATAGGATAGTTTTTATCCCAGACTTTTGAAAGGTTCTCTTCGAAACGCGATATTACCGAACTCCACGCGGGCGAAGCTGCGGGCGGAAAGCTAGTTATAATATAAATATTTTTAAAGCTAAATGTAGTCAAAATTTATCTTGTATTACAAGAGTATTGTAATATAAATTACACACATATGTATACTAAGAGTATCTAGTATTCTAGTAATGTTATTTAGTCTATTATAATTTGTATTGATGATTATCATAATGGGATCTAGTGATCAGTTTGTCATGTTTTTATTATCAAAACTATAACAAGATAAGAAAAGATAGAATATTAAGTAAATAATGAAAGTCAATATGAGAACATATCTCGATTCGACAAATTATGAATCAGAACCCAGAAAATAAACACAAGCCAAATATACATATACATATATATACAAGCTAAATATATATACAGACTTTAACAAAGTTTATTTAATATACCAATAACAGTCTTATGCACGTTTAAAAAATGTGTCAGTATCCTAATTCTATAAGTATGTTGGATGGTTGGTTGAGTATTTAGACACCACTGACAGACGGTGAAGGAAAACATCGTGAGGAAAACTGACTTTATAATTTCAAGTTATAAGTTTGAAATCACCAACCCGTCTTCAGCTACCGTGGTGATTAATGCTCAAACTTCCTACATGTGAGAAGAGGCTTTTGCTCAGCAGTGGACTCTGATAGGCTGAGCATTATACTTATTATTATGATGATGGTTTCACAACCACTGTTCACAGGTGGCAGCGTCTTGTATTACACCTTTGGTGGTAGATCGTCTCGGAAGACGTCCTCTACTTTTGTTTTCCTCATGCGGAACAGGCATTGCAACTGTAAGTATGAAAGAAATCCTACTAATATTATAATTGCGAAAGTTTGTGAGTGTGTGTGTATGTTTGTTACTTCTTCACGCTCAAACGGTTGAACCGATTTAGATAAAATTTTGTATACAGGAAGCTGACGTCATAGAATAACACATAGGCTACTTTACATCCCGGAAATCCGCGGGTAACACCACGGGGCGCAGCTAGTATATAATATAGTCGCAGATAGTGCAAATTCTCCTAACTGGCTTGAGATAATTCCGTGTATTAGAAGTGCATTAGAAGCAGAGTGATAGTGTTAGGTTTAACTTAATAAGTTTAATAAATGGAAAAGTAAATAAGAAACCATAGTTTTAATTTAATGAGTGCCAGCGAAAATATTAGATATTAACGCTCTTATATTTCTAGTACTGTTAAGTGAGCTTATGAAAATCCAAAATATAGATTAATTTATAGGTCCTTATTTAAAGAATTAAAGAGTCAATAAACTCAAAACTCAAACAACTTTATTCAATAAAGAAGCATTACACTTTCTTATTGATGGTCACTTGAGACACAACCACCGGTTCTTACTCACTTACCACCATTATAAGTATTATAATAACGATTATATATCTGTAAATGTATAAGTTAGAATCAAAATCTAATCATCTTTTTAATTTCTTTTTAGTTGCTACTGGGTGTATTTTTCCTGCTACTCAACAACGAGAGTGACGTAGTATCGTCTATCAGTTTTCTACCAGTATTATGTCTAGTAGTGTTCATTCTGTCTTATTGTGTGGGTCTAGGCCCGCTTCCTTGGGCTATCCTTAGCGAATTGATGCCCATAGAAGTAAAGGCTGTAGCATCACCGATAGTAACAGCATTATCGTGGTTACTGGCTTTCCTAGTTACCAAGTAAGTATTTAATAACTATAAGAACTATACGAGTATATTTCGTAGTTTAATTTGCTCTAATTATTCATTCTAAGTCAATCATTACGTAGTTAATATTATAAAAAGTTCTGCCAAAAAGAAATTAGAGTTTGTTTGCGGAAAGAACAAAAAAAACATATTCAGAATGTCAAATTTAGTAAAGATCATATAAAAATATTGTGAAATTAAAAGTTAATGGTAAAAAAATAGCATAAAAATGTTCTTATTACCAGGATTTCTGATTTAATTGTTAAGGTTTTTATCACGTATTCTACAGATTCTTCCCGTCTTTGGACCGTCACGTTGGTTTTTTCATGTTTGGAGGCTGTTGTGTCTTATCTTTCGTCTTCTCACTACTAGTTGTTCCTGAGACCAAAGGAAAGAGCTTTTCCGAGATACAAATCATGCTTGCTGGGTTAGTTGAAACATTTGTATATAACTATCTTACTAAATATCTTGTACATATTCGATGATTTCAGAAAAAAATGTCTATTGGAAATAGTATGGAATAATATATATTACATCTCTCATGTAAACTTTTTCCATTTTAAAGTCCTTATATAAATATTGTTTTTCTTTACAGGAAAAAAAAGCGAGAGAAGGCCTAAGATAAGAATGTTATCAAAGAGTAAAATGTTATTGCGACTAAGAATTATTCCTTATAGGCTTTTAAGGCTGAGTTAAAAAAACGTATTATTATTGTTATCACTTAAATAAATAAAAAATAACTTATATTGAAACAAAATTTTGCTTTTTTGTTTAAGTAGTAGATCACATAAAAATGTCTGTTAAAAAAATAATGTAACTAATTTTAAATTAAGCGTATTTTTAATTTCAGCGTAAAATATGACGCTGAAAATGGCCACAAATTAATTATAAAATTGAATTGATACCTGCAGTTTAAGGATATGGTCAAATGAATGGACCTTTGAAGTAAAAACCATCAATATTTTAACTTCGACAATGTCCTTGAAGTTTTAAGTCACATATAGTACAATTAGCTGTACAAAGTAAATTACAATTAACTTTAAAGCAGTATATAATTATATCGAATTTCATGTTATAAGTGAATTGTTTTGTAAGACTACAATTTAGTTATTTGCTACTATATAATATACGCGTTATGATATATATGTATCAACAAATATTTACTGTTACAATAAGTTAGAGTACAAAGTACTAAATTATTGTCTTCATAACTATATTATAATTTTAGTTCCTTTTTTGTTTAAAAAAGTAATAATGTTTCTTTTTGTAAATATTGTTGTGACGTATTTTGTTACAGTTGGAATAAAATTGTTTGAAATGTTCTTGTCTTTGTCATTGTTGAAAGTTTTAAAGTTAGAAAGTAGTTAGAAATTACTATGTAACCTTTTTTGTGGAAAAAAACTCCTAGAAAATGAGATTATCACGTGTGAATGATAATTAAAGAAAAAACAAATCTTTTATCAAAGGAAAAGAAAATAAATTATTATTTGAAAAATTACTTTACAATGTGTTTGAATTTTGTCAAAAAATGAAATAAATGTTAGGTATAGTGCGTTTGATTTAAGCTGAGCTTTGCATTTGTGTGAGTGCACACGGATAGTGTAGGTGTGATGTCAAATTTTTGAATGCCACGTTCTTTTTTAGTTCTGAACCGGTTTATTCTGCTTTTACTCCGCCCCGCACTTTTCTCACTTCACCCTTTGTACTGATAGCAAAATCAAATGTTGAAAACGCAATGTCAAGTGAATAAGAATTTGTAGTTTTTTCAAAATTATTATTAATCAATATTTTTTCCATAATATTCATAATATTTCCATCTGGCCTTTTACAAGTTTTGCTTATTTTATAGCACTTACGTTATGTATGTATTTGAAATATAATAAAATTGAATTCTAAAAGTTTGGTTCTTAATCTACTTTTACTTTCACTCACACAAATGCAAAGCTCAGCTTAAGTCTAACGGACTATAACGACGTTATTTATAATCATAATTATCAACTTAAATTAATAAAATGAAAATATAACTAAAATTAAAAAAATGTTTCTATATCATAAATCCCTTTATGAATAATGTGAAATAATTAAAAATCAACATTTTAATTTTTATGTTCATAGATATTTTTTATTTATCAAGCGGAAAAATTCTGACTTATTTTAAAAATATAAGTAAATCAAATATTATGTTTATACATATATGCATAGATGTAGAAAACGCTCCATATTTTAAGTGAGATATAGACTTATAGTAAGTAAGTACCCTATTCATTAAAAATATGGTACAAAATAAAAAACAAAATCAATAGAAACGTCAAATTTATTATATTTTTACACAAAATAATATTCTGTGATTGTCGAGATTCTTATTTACATTGAATGGCACACCATACTATTGAAACTGGCTTATAATACTATCCATAGAAGTGAGTACTTCACATACACTAGCCGCGTAAAGTCTAATATCATCATCTTTCTTTATCTTTAAAGATACGCTGTATAACTTCTTGTACATATCTGTTATCTTTTCGTAATCTTTATTTGATTTCGACCTACAATACTGAATTATACTTTTTAGTATATAATGTAGTCTATTTTCATATAAGCTTAATAAGCTATGCTCGTTTTTCAGACTTTTTTCATCACCATCCGGTTTATCTTTTTCTATCTTTTCGTCCGGATCTCTATCTTTTAGGAGCTTCATTATTGAATGACACTGACGCAGTAAATCTATCGCGTTTTGAAGCGACTTCAACTTCAGATTTGGTGACACTGTAATTAAACAAAATGATGTACATAGAAATATGGTTAATAGTAAATATATTGTTGTATATAATTTTATTAGATGATAATATTATTTGTGTGGATCACATATAGATTGGCGATTAAGGAATAAACTGAAACGAGCGTATATTGTAAAAAAAAATTTAGAAAACTCTACGCCTTAGAACGTGGGTACTTTCACCAAAAAAACTTCATATAGTAAGGCGTGAAAGCGTATTTTCCATTGTTTACGACCCCGCAACCCCCTTGTGAGTGAAATTTCGTAAAATCCGTTCTTAGCTGACCTCTACTCTAAATTTCAAGTCACTACGCCTTTTGGTTCCAGAGATATCGTGATGAGTCAATATATAGGTGGAAATCTCTTATATATATACAGGGTGACTGGTGAATTACTATCGATATTTGAGGACGTGATATTTGACGATCATATATGACAAAATATATGATCGTCAAATATCACGTCCTAAAAGTTATGTAATTAATTACCCTATGTGAACACCCTACAGATTAGGTATATACACACACACACACACACGCGTCCGGCGGCGTCTTGTTGTATCAGCACGCCGCCGCACGCGTCCACACTTGGAACACTTGGAACGTGTCAACACTTTATTTATTTATACGGAAATTTTGTCAAAAATTAAGTACCTATTTTTTTTTACATAATTCGAATGAGAATCATGTACCGAGTATTCTCCTTAAATATTGATAGTAATTCACAAGTCACCCTGTATATATATACGCTTTCACGCTTAAACCACTGAACTGATTTTAATGAAATTTGGTACAGACATAGAGTTGACCTTGAGAAAGAACATAAGATAGTTTTTATACCAGACTTTTGAAAGGTTCTCTTGGAAACGCGATATAACCGAACTCCACGCGGGCGAAGCTGCGGGGGGCAGGTAGTATATATATAATTCCTGTTGTTACCTGCAGCATGTGCCTCTAATGCCGCTACATGTTCAAGTCTTGCTGTCAGGTACATTGCTGGGTCTTCAAGCGAAGCGAATTGAAGCGCCGCCTTTTCATAGTGAGAACACGTAGCTGATAACATACGACGACGGACAGACGGGTCTTGACTTTTCCTGTAATATATTAATAATTAATTATTAATATAAATTTAACTTATCGTCAGTGGTGACCTAGTGGTTAAAAGGCCCGCCTCTCATGCATGAAGGCGCGGGTTCGATCCTAGCAAGTAGCAATGTGATTTTTCCAAGCCATATGTACTTTCTAAGAGTATTTAGACATCACTGATTAAAGCATTCCCAAAGAGGGTTGATATCTACGGCGGCCGGTCGTAAAAACAATAAGCCAAAACTATTCACATGTAAGGCAGACCCTGGCTAAAGCTGGGAAAATTGCCAAGTAGAAGAATAATTAGTTATGAATATTAATGTAATTAATATTTTGGATTACTAATAATAACTATAATGTATTTTTATAAAACATTTAGTCTGTGGTATATATCGGCTCTATCAGCATTAATGACGGATACGACATGAAAATAATTTGAGGCTGTCATCATTTATTATTAAAAATATAAGTATTCATCATTATTGTTAAAAGTAAAACGAAATCAAGGATTGTTTAAAAGAGAATTGAACTATGTTTGAATTTTGGTACAAATATGACGTCTGGACGCACGACGGCATAGTTCAGTGAGTGCGAACCATTGAAGAATGTGATTATGAAGAACCTTCGAGAAATACGGGAACATTAAGAACAATTGAAGTTTCATTTTAAAATATCATGGAACGCTCTAGAAGAAGTGACATTTGTTACGTCAGCGAGGCTGGCGTCTCTCTTTAAAATCAACGAATTTGTTTTAAATCCGATATATACATTATATATGTATATATTTAAAGCGCGTTATGTATGTTACCTATACTTATAGTCAGTGGTGTCCTAGTGGTTAAAAGGCCCGCCTCTCATACACGAGGGCGCGGGTTCTATCCTGACTAGTACCAATGTGATTTTTCCGAGTCATATGTACTTTCTGAGAGTATTTAGACAGCACTGATTAATGCATTCCCAAAGAGGTTTGATGTGTACGGCGGCCGGTCGTAAAGACAATTAGCCAAAACTATTAACATGTAAGGCAGACCCTGGCTATATCTGGTAAATTGCCAGGTAGTAGATACGTGTGTTACCTATACTGTGAGTGGTAGAGCGATCCCAGCCGGTGGTAGATCATGGCCGCTCTAAACTGATACAGATACTGTCGCGGGCCCGGACTCAGTAGGCAGTGCTTCAACGCGTTCTTGAAGGCTTCCGCCACTTCCGTTACATCCTGGAATACAAAAATATCCGATTTAAGACTAAAAACAATAATAAGACTAAATAATTTAAAGATTTTTATACGATCTTTCAATTTCAATCTGATCGATATGATTCGATTTAAACTACCCTAATATCCGACTAAAAACTTAAATCCGTTAAAAGAAAACTAACTATAAAACCTTATTTAATGCTATCAATTTCATCGTATTTTCTAAAATTTGCATAATTTGTCATATTTTCCACGAAATTAGTGACATAACCTCCTACTTCTATAAGTCCTTTATCTTATCTCACATTAAAATCCCTATTAATATTATAAATGCGAAAGTAACTCTGTCTGTCTGTTACGCTTTCACGCCTAAACCACTGAACTGATTTTAAAGAAATTTGGTACAGACATAGAATTGACCTTGAGAAACAACATTTGAAGTTCTCTTGGAAACGCGATATAGTCGAACTCCACGCGAGCAAAGCTGCGGGCGGAAAGCTAGCTAGTTATTTTATATATATCATTCCTCATTCTACTCACACTAGCATATATCTCAGGATGATCTTGTAATAGCACAGCTCGCGTGTACAGATGACAAGACAGCTCCCAGCTAACAAGCTCCCTAACAGCTTGCTCGCGACTCCCAACCAGCTTGAGAGCTTGGCTGTACAGCTCCTCCGCTGAGTTATATGTACGCCGTTTCTCATCACTAGAGAATATATATTAATATGTATAAAGGGTGTTTAAAAGTGTTATGGTGAGGGTGGATTAAGAAAATTACGAGATTAATAGGTTTTTTCTTATTATATTTTACATGCGACGCTTCTTATCACACAAAATTATGAGATTAACAAGATTGTTTTGTTATAATATGATAGTAATAGTCTTAGAATAAATTTGGATTATATGTGCAACGCTTCTCATCACTAGAGAAAACATATAAAAGTTTATGACGAGAGTAGTTTATAAAAATTCTGGGATTGAGAGAATTTTTCTTAATTATATATAATTTAGAAAATATTTTAATTTAATTAGTTGATATACATGAATTGTTTAAAAAAGTATTTTATACTAAAATCAGATGAAAGTAATAGAGATTATACGTAAAAAATATTGAAAAATACCCATTTTTTTGGCAGATAACTTACTCAAATACTCCTTTATCGCAGTGCACTTTGAATCTCATGTATCTAGCCTTATTACAGTATAACAAGGCCAAGTTGGGAACGTCGTTAACATGTTGAAATATTTCCGTCGCTTCGTCTAAATATCCCGCAGCTTTTTTGGAAAGCTGATGAAATTCATCCGGTAATGTGTCAGAAGAATCCAATGATGACATATATATCTCTGAAATATAATCATAACTTTAAAAGTTTAAACTATTGATTATTTTTCATAGATGTATGAGAAAATTAAACATTTTCTTCTAAATGAAATTAATATATTTCGAATTACTGTAAAAACTACATACTTTCGGCGTTTTTGTTACTTTTTAGCAACCGTGATCAAAAGACGAGATGTGAATCAGTATGTTTGAATATTAGCTTCATTTAAATAAATACTAAAGTCTTACATTTCATAATTATCTTGTATAATTTAATACTTTTCAGATGTTATTACGATAAACTAAACGTTTGTTTGATGATATGACAATTTTGTGATTAGTGTTGAAAAGTATCATTGGTATATTTTAATATACCATAATGGTACGAGAATTTTGAAAGATTAATTGAGAGTTGATAAATAGAGTTATAAAATTAAACGTAGAATGGCTATTCAGTTCAATGATCAATCACTGACAATGAAAAATAATGGTGATGTATAATGATGAGATAATATCTGTGATGATGAAGTGGTTATTAAGGATTGATTGATAAAACAGTTATGAATGAAAGGCAGAAAGTTGTACCAACAGAATAGCTACTTAATTTATGATCATTCAATGGATATAGAGGAATTTATTATCATCCTATCAGAGCCCACTGCTGAGCAAGTCTCATCTCACATGGAGAAGGTTAAAGCATTAATCACCACGCTTGCTCAAGACGGGTTGGTGATATCAAACTTATTATTTGTTATAATAAGTCCATGTTTCCTCACGATGTTTTCCTTCATCTGTCAGTGATGTCTAAATACTCTTAGAAAGTATATATGACTCATCAAAATCACATTTGTAGGGGAATTAATGGTAATATATAATAATTATTACGTAAATACAGCTGTATAACTCTTTGCCTCTAAGTGTAGTAAATTCAAAATCTCCAAATATATTTAAACAACGATTAAGAACCCATATATAAGATGATTTCACTGATCTTGTTTAATATCACTACATACTGTTTATCAATTGTAATCTTAATTGTAGTTATAATTTCAAAATTTTCTTTGTAAATTGTTCTTTTTGTAAATACACCTATTTAAACCTTAATATCTATGTTAATGAAGTCAATTAGTCAGTTGTGGCCTAGTGGTTAGGTAAGGTTAGTGATCAGGGCGCGGGTTCGATCCTGGCAAGTACCAATGTGATTTTTCCGAGTCATATGTATCCGAGTATTTAGACATCACTGATTAATGCATTCCCAAAAGAGAGATGATGTCTACGGCGACCGTAAAAACAATTAGCCAAAACTATTCACATATAAGGCAGACCCTGGCTATAGCTGGGAAATTGCCAGGTAGAAGTAAAAAATCTTACGTTGCGCGTCACTCATACATCTAACAGCCAGTTCGTTACACACTGAAGCACGTCTTCGGAGTAGTTCGTCTGTTTTGAGTCGGTCTGATACTAACGCCGCCCGCCGGTAGTACTCGCACGCGGATAACATAGACGAGCGCTCTGTAGACGGCAATGTGATATCTGGTGGATAGATAGCATATATGATTATCTTTATATATATAATTCTTCTGTGAGTGTGTATGTCACTGAACTTCTCTCAAACGACAGGACAGATCTTGATGAAATTTTTCGCATGTGTTCAAGGGGATCTGGGAATGGTTTAGATTCACAATTTTGTCCGCTGCACAATGTTTTTTTAATTAATTTTTAATTTATTAGTAGTTGTTGATACAAACATTTTTTTTTTTGACATTATACATATTTGACAACTAACTAATATGTCAATCATTCTGTTGCACTTCAGAACACGGAGATTTATAGCTTTAATAGGTAAACTCCAAAAATATAAATAAAAAAACGTAACAGATATTTCTTGATTATAGGGCGATACGACGTTCGCCGGGTCTTCTAGTATATTTATATACATATATGCAAGTGTGTACCTTTATAGTGATGAATATATCTTTAAATATACAGTTATATTATATTTAATATATAAATGTATGCTTCTATATTGAATAAAGTTATTTGAGTTTGAGTTTGAGCTTAATATCTGACAGCCAGTGTCATTTGAAGTAGCAACAAAACTCTTATACTCATGTATATACTAAAAAACCATAGCTTATTCTAAATTGGACATTCAAAAAACAAAATTATTTCAGTAAAAACTAATAAATATCACTATTATATAATATTACTCACCTAATTCAAACTCATCTCCCCCCACTCCTTCCATTTCCTCAGTCATGTCATTTTCTATCTCATTTCTTATATCTCTGTCTATTTCGTGGTCCATTTCAAACTGTTTCCTATATTGCTCTAAACTGGCCCAATGTTTACTTAGTTGGAAGTAATTATCACCAACCCTGCCTATAAGACAGCTAGCGTCAACCACGCGACTCTTAATGATCATGTTGCTCAATAATTTCTGGCATTTACTGGCTAAATCTATATATTTGAGCGAGAATCCGTACTGCTCGTGTGAATAGCTGTATTCTGCGAGTGTCGCGTAAGCCAGACATATCTTTTCATACAATAGAGTCTTCAAGTGTAATTTCCAAGCGAAATTGTCATTTCTGTTCGGTTCTTGTAATGTTATTGTATTGTCTTTTCTTACTAATATCGCGTTTTTGTCTATATTTGTGTTAGTTTCTATGTAATTTGTTGAGGTTTTCCTTGTTCTTCGTCGTCTGCTTCTCGATGTATGCTCTTTTTCTTTTATTTTGGACGTTTTATAACCCATTTTGATAGGTTCATAAGGATTCGCCATTTTTGGATGTTGTTCTTCATTTATCTTTTGCTGTCTTAAACGTTCTCTTTCCTCTTCCTGGAAATAAAAATTTGTATCCTTAGTAACATCACTAAAATTCCAAACCTGACATTTGAATTGGAATTTGTTATATTTTTTTACAATGCCTTGATTTTGATTTTGCAAATGTAATAAATAATAATATCTATATCATTGTTTGTTTTTCTCAATAAGCACATTAAATGTACCGAACAATAAATGTAACCTTAGATAGGTAAAAATTTTGAGCCTAAGAATTTTCCAGGCAAACTTCTCTTATAATAATTATCTAACTGCGTATTAAATAGAAGATCTTAAACAAATAAATAATAATTAATTAATGTTCTATAATTACCATAGACTTATCTATAGTCAAATGATGGAGCGCCTTCAATCCAGTGAGAGCGTGTTTCAACGCTCGTCCACATCTTGAAGCGGGTTCGATTCCCAGCCCTGTTGTAGATCTTTTAGTTTTCTTCGCCTAAAATATTATATATTACATATTTAAAATTTACTTCAGCGAATAAAAAGGATTTAACAGCGTCTGTGACGCATTAATCGCTGCATTTCCATGTATACATCTAAATTTCATTAAAACATTTAGAGTCATTTATACTATAGTATTGAAAAACATACAATTTCTTCAACCTAAGTAGATTAAGTACCACAATATTTTCCTTAGTACATGAAACCAAAAAATACTTAACACATAAGTAAGAAAGTCGTCTTTTTCCCATACTATTCTCTTCAATATCTCCATCCCTTTCTAACACACCAACATAAACATAAAGCACTTTTTATATCTATCTCTCTCTCACATATACTTACAGTATCGTGTGTCTGTCTGTCACCGATGTCTCTTAAAGCCAGACCCCTCACTCGAAGCGTGAGTTCACCAGAACTATCGCCGTCCTGCTCGCACTCACTACGGTTTATATTTCCATCTCCCTCACACTTATCGTCCTGTTATTAAATTGATTTGACTGTTTAAATCTTGTAATTATATAATATTAACGTATTGTTTTTTTTTTAGCCTATCAGAGCCCACTGCTGAGCAAAGGCCTCTTTCTCTCAAGGAGTAGGTTTGAGCATTAATCACTATGCGTGCTCAAGACGGATTGGTGATTTCAAACTTATAATTGTGAAACTATAAGTCCATGTTTCCTCACGAAGTTTTCCTTCATCTATCAGTGCTGTCTAAATACTCTTTTAAAGTACATATGACTCGGAAAAATCACATTGGTACTTGCCAGGATCGAACCCGCGCTCTCAGCAACGAGAGGCGGGCCATTTAACCAAAAGGTTACCAATGACTTTTAATTAATTGTAATATTCAATTCTTAGTGGACTTGATTGTCTCATATACTTTGAAGTACTAGCTTTGATTGTTTTTTTATTAACTGTTGTATTATCACATTCAATATATATATTTGGAGAACACACATTTAATTTGAACCAAACCTTTAAATTCCCGAAGGCATCCGAAGTGATGTTAAAGCGATGACATTTGGTTTGTGCAATTTTAGGCGGGAAAGTTTTGTCAACACGACTTGTGTCTTTATAAATTGAATCTAATTTATAGAATGCGTTTTTGTTTAAGATAATAATTAGTTTGTTCTAGTTAAGTTCTTAGTAGTTATTTTAAAGTATTGGCTTTATAAGAAAACTATACTTTTAATGATTTTGTTAGCATCCCAAATATATGCATGTGCTATGTATATATCCTTACTAATATTATAAGTGCGAAAGTAACTCTGTCTGTCTGTCTGTTACGCTTTCACGTCTAAACCACTGAACTGATTTTAATGAAATTTGGTACAGACATAGAGCTGACCTTGAGGAAAAACATAGGATAGTTTTTATCCCGGACTTTTGAAAGGTTCTCTTGGAAACGCGATATAACCGAACTCCACGCGGGCGAAGCTGCGGGCGGAAAGCTAGTTATCTATATATATATATATATATATCTTACATGAGTAACATCTCGTACAATATCTTCTTCGCCCGTCCGTCTGTCTCTATCGTCCGAGGGACACTCCGCGTAGTTACCGAACTCAGTTTCTTCTTCAGAATCCGAACTCTCGTCTTAAAATAAATACAATATTATTGAAAATCTACATTAAAATATACATAGGTACACTATACAGGGTGACTGGTGAATTACTATCGATACTTGAGGACGTGATATTTGACGATCATATATGACAAAATAAAAATTAATATACAAACATAAATATTAATAAACTTCTAAGTAAAGTTAACCAAAAGTTGTGTAATTAAATACGCATCGTGTGAACACCCTACAGATTAGGTATACACACACACGCACACAAACGCGCGCCGCGGCGTGGTGTTGTATCAGCACGCCGCCGCACGCGTCCACACTTGGAACACTTGGAACGTGTCCACACTTTATTTATTTATACGGAAATTTGGTCAAAAATTAAGTACCTATTTTTTTTACATAATTCGAATGAGAATCATGTACCGAGTATTCTCCTTAAATATTGATAGTAATTCACCAGTCACCCTGTATATTAGTGGTCATTCATAAAGTACGTTAATGGAAAGGTTAATGAAGTGTGAAATCGTGTTACAAGGGGCAGGGGGATTTTAAAATTTACTAAAACCATAATGCACCTCAACCAACGGAAAACACTGTAATAGTTTAAGTTTAAGAAGATTAATTGTATCATTATATGTTAATCTATTATTATGTAACCATTGTCTTTTTTTTTACAATAAAGTTTATTTATTAAGTATTATTATTATTGGGGTCAATAGTTTTGTGACGTCACGTATTAAAATCTAAAATACTTAGATTATTATGTAATAAAAATAAGTAAATAATGACAATGGCTGTTTTCTTTCGATTATTTTTAAACACACACATAGATTTTAAAAATAAATGACGTCATATTAAGAGGGGGTTATAAAAATGTTACAACTTAAGTCAATGACAGGGAAAGGGGTTAAAAAGTCCTAAATAGATCGCACCTTATCATAAATTCTTCTACAAAAACAAATTTTAATAAATAATAGAATATAAACCTCATCCTACTAATATTATAATTGCGAAAGCTTGATAGTGTGTGTATGTTTGTTACTTCTTCACGCTCAAACGACTAAACCGATTTCGATAAAATTTTGTATACAGGAAATTGACGTCCAGGAATAAGACATAGGCTACTTTACATCCCGGAAATCGGAGGTAACACCGCGGGGCGAAGCTAGTTATATCATAAAAAGTATAATAAAAGAAAAATATATATAAACCACCTTTAAAATCTGGATGCGCTGGATTAGTAGTGGCCGGTACATACAAATCAGCTAACATATAATGTGATGACGCTACTATTTGAGGATATCTCTCCGGTCCTAGTAGTTTAATAACATGTTCTAATAATTGTCGTACATGTTTGGATCTATTCATCATCCTCATATTTCTTGCTACTCGATATAAAAGCATGGCTACCGGAGTAGTGAATGGATTATCCATATCATCAGGACATAACATTGTGAGGTCATATAATTTTACCACATCATCGTGAGGTCCTTTGAACAACCAGTATGTATGCCCCGCCTTAGTTGCGTTAGATTTTAAGAAAGATAGTATATTTTGAGCCACATTTCTTATAACTTTCGGTGAGAATTTCGAGTTTTCCATGTGCGGTAGATCTTCTGTTTTCATTGGTTCGTATTTCTGTACGATTCCGTCTAAATGATAGCACATTAGGACTTCTGGGACGTTGCACATAAGGTTATCGAGCCAATAATCAATGCCTGTTAGTACGTTTATTGGTTCCCTCGCGTCTCGTAAACGTAAACTAACGCAAGGTCTGTCTTTATCGCCAAATATAGGCAAGTTACTTCCTATCAACATATGTATGTCTTCGAACGTCCAAAGCACATTTCTATTGAAACTCTGTTCTTTAGCTGGTTCTTCGGGACGAGTTTCCGGTTCCGGGAGAAATGGTCCTGTAATATATAATGAAAAAATTTTAATCGATTCTAATAAAAAATTCTCCAAATCCGTAAATTGTTATTCATAGAAGCAATCATATCCTTTACCTTTAATAAGGAGGAGAAAATCTAATGACAATCATATCAGCTATTGAATAGTCAAAGAATAACAAAAATAAATAATTAGATTTACACCAATAATCAAAAAGGAAGCAAAGAAAATATAACTTCTTAATTCAAACTGACAGTCATGAAAACTAGTTTGATTTAATGCCTATATGTAATAATTTTTAAATATTAAGATTGATATTCAAAATTTATTTATCGGCTCAGCCGATTAGCCAATTAACAAATTAATTAATTAATTATATTATCGTTGTATTATATTGTAACAATTTATGTATCGTTTTATTAATAATTTGTGTATTATTTTTAATTGAGTCATTGTTACTTGAATGGATGGAAATAAATTAAAAAAAAACTGTGATGGAGATAACAATACCAACATAACAGTGTAATATCCTTCTAATACCAACATAATATAATAACCTGGTAAACATATAGGTTGGCAAGGCTGGCTAGCCGGCAGAGGTGGCGCCACCACGCTGTGAGACAGGAACTTGTGAGTCAGTTGGAGAGCGCTTGTACTGGATGATGAAGTCAAAGACATGCGCTCCTAATATAAAAAATATTAAAATATATACTACTAGCTTTCCACCAACAGCTTCGCCCGCGTGGAGTTCGGTTATATCGCGTTTCCAAGAGAACCTTTCAAAAGTCCGGGATAAAAACTATCCTATGTTCTTTCTCAAGGTCAACTCTATCTCTGTACCATATTTCATTAAAATCAGTTCAGTGGTTTAGGCGTGAAAGCGTAACAGACTGACAGAGTAACTTTCGCATTTATAATATCAGTAGGAATGTATTCACTGTTTTTAGATAAATAATTAGCTAAAATAAGTCTGAAGTAAATAAGTTAGCGGCAATCATTTTTTTATAGGAGTATATAATATAATAAATCATCTTTATGATCTGTTCACAAGTGAATAAATTATCTTATGGCATTACTAACATTGTGAATTTGATATGTAACAAAAAGTTAAACATTGGGCATAAGAACCTAGGTTTTTAGTTAATATAATAACAATTAATTGATCAATTACTGAATTAATTCTAGAGTATAATATAATATATTAAATACTTCATGGTATATAGCTAACCTTTTCTGACATAGTCTTCAATACATTTTCGTAGAAGAAATCCTTTAACCATGACCACTCGGACTTCATGAGGTATTCGTAAACATCAAAATCATCCAACAGCAAAGTATTTTCAACTCTATGCACCATCATACTAACCTATAATGTTGATTAATTATTTATATTTTATGTAAATATCTTAATCAACATGGGACTTCAAAATAAGGGCTGGAAATGGAACGATAACTAGATTCCTTGATCTCTAAGTTAATGTATGAAATCTATGCTTAAAGTACTAGGAACTGTTTATATATCTACATACTATTTGGAATTAATTGTTCTGTACATATTTGTGGAGAACTATATAACTTTCTAAATATTTTAAATCAATAAAGTTATAACATGCACTAGTACCAAAAACTATTCAATAATAATTTAAATAAACCTAATATTTCTCAGATGTACTATGTACGAGACTTTATTTTTGATATCTTGTATGCTCGTGATCATGGTTGCTGAAAAGTAGTTGAAACATCCAGAGTATGTAGTTTTTTATCAAAAATAAAATTGCGGGGTATAATCCGAAAAATATTAGTTTCATTTAAATGAATAAAACTCATGAAAATCTTAGAACTTTACATTCAATAATAATCTGAACAAAATTTATTGTTTGGGCAGTTTAATCTCAATAATTACCAATTTGGGCATTACTCACAGTTCCATTGGGTTGGTAAGGTAATTTGAGAAGGTTCTTAATACAATCCGCATCTGATATAACATCCACCTCTCCGACACAATCGGGAAACATATGGGCCATTCTGAAGCTGTGAAATTATAAGAGCATTATATATTTTAATACTTTTAGAATAACTTTGTTGTTTTAGAGAAATTTATGATATATAATGTTTGTTAGAGCAGTAATGTTAAACTAATGTAGCCCTAAAAAAAATTCTTAAGGTTTTTTTGGTTGATTTAATACAACAATTGCAAAAATGTTCTTAAATCATAAGTTTTAAACTCTTTCATTACATGTTTTTCTAAAGTAATACCAGTGAAGCAGTAGTAAAAAAACGAATCATTAATTAATAAATATTTCATACTATATAAATATATTACATATTTACATTTATTTTCTCCCAATAAATGTATATTTCCTTTACCTTAATCCCCGCCATATATTTATAATTAACATTAAAGCACATATAGATTTTTATTACATTAAATATCAATAGCACCTTGAAAGTCCCGAATCTCTTGTGAGTATCTGCTTCAAACCGTAAGTGTCTATACCGCCCCAGTTTGAGGGTGGAAGATTGATGTCAGTATTGCATTGTAACCTGGCATAACTAGCAGGCGTCTGGAATGCTGTGTACTTCACTACCGCTGTGGATTTTACCCCTGGAGAGGGACTTCGCCCCTGAAAAATAAAATAACGTAAATTTAAGGCAAACTATAAAGTTATGATGGCAAGAAAATGTAACCGAAAAGTTTATGTTTAAGTAAGATTTATATATAATAATGTAAGGTATATTTATAAAACACGTAAGGTGTTGAAATTAATATACTATGATCGCAAATAAACAAACTTACTTTCATAACTGAAGTTACTTGATGTGATTTTTTTTTTAACAATTTGAATGTAAGGTGTTTCTGTAAATATTGTAAATAACAAGAACAAGTAAAAATATCATTCAAGGTGAACTCTGTAAAAACAACCTCGATCAAGTTACCTTGTTTCTATTGAACTCATTTTCATTCTCGACGTCGTCCATATTCAGCGAAGTTTTCTTTTATGGGCACAAAATGTTATAAAACTACCTAATGTTTCAAAAAATATGTAACAATTCAGCTGACAGAGCCGACACGAGCGAAACGTAAATAACAAGTATTTTTTATCTGTGACAAATGTCAACGTTACGTTTCATAAGGCACGCTTTTAAGATAAAAATATTTCAATTATTTTTATTTTATTTATATTATAATATTATTGAAATCATTTTTGATTCTTGTGATTTAAAAAATATTTTCTCTCTTTTTAACATTAAATCAAGTTATGAAAATAAACTTGAATTAACTTAATATTGAACATTATAGAACCTTGTTTGACACTTAAGAATTCTGACAATAGTTTGTTTTGAAAATACTTGATTTTAATTGTTATGGAGTTACTTTAAACGAATGCGCTTGAAAATTAAACTTAATGTCAGCTATTACATAAATTATTTACGAACTAGAATCATATAAAAATCTGATAAGAACAATATATAGCACATAAGTTTAATTATATGTTGAATATAACCTAAAAGAATTGAAAATAAGAAAAATGAGATTAACTTTAAGATTATTGTCTTCAGTGATAAATAAAAGACCATTCTATATTACAACACCAATCTTCTACGTGAATGCCGGTAAGTTTGTAATATGGTATTTCACCTAAAAATTTAAATTTAATGTGACGATTGTAGCGATAGCTTGATCAAAATAGAACCTTTTTTTTTATTAATCCTATTTTGTATAAGCTCGACAGCCAGAGAGAACATTTTCGTCTATATACTCTGATTTTTACGCCAATTACTTTTTATATCAAGTTAATTATATTAAGTGTACAATTTATTTTGTTTTCTTATTAGTTTATAATCTTTTTTTTTTCATTTTAGCACCACATCTAGGTCACCTGTATACAGCAGTTGTTGCAGATGCAATACAGAGATTTGAGAAGTTAATAGATCCCAACTGCAATGTAAAATTCAGCACTGGTAAGTTTTATATCAAATGTTAACAGAAATGTTTAAAAATGGTCTATAAAAATTACTTGAGAAGTAATGATAAAAATTTTAATCTTAAAAAGTCTTCAAAGAATTTTGGTTTACTAGATTTTCTTGAATTTGTTGAGTCCTGGAGGTTTAAGGGCTGCCTCTCGTGCATGAGGGCACAGGTTTGAAACCAACCAAGTACAAATATGATTTATCTGTGTTGTAGTTATTTTTTAAGAGTATTAAGACACCACTGACAGACGGTGAAGAAAACATCGTGAAGAAACCAGGACTTATAATTTCAAATATGTAATTATAATCTACCTTCAGTGAGTGTGGTGATTAATGCTCTAACCTTCTCCATGAGAGAAAAGATCTTTGCTCAGCAGTAGACACTGATAGGCTCATGATGATAAAGATATTTTATTCTATGAAGGTTTCTTTCTAATATTATATATAAACTAGCTTTCCGCCCGCAGCTTCGCCGCGTGGAGTTCGGTTATATCGCGTTTCCAAGAGAACCTTTCAAAAGTCTGGGATAAAAACTATCCTATGTTCTTTCTCAAGGTCAACTCTATCTCTGTACCGAATTTCATTAAAATCAGTTCAGTGGTTTAGGCGTGAAAGCGTAGCAGACAGACAGACAGACAGACAGACAGAGTTACTTTCGCATTTATAATATTAGTAGGGATACATTTCACAGGCACCGATGAACACGGCACAAAAATACAACAAGCTGCGGCAAAATCAAACAAGTCACTAATAAACTACTGTGATAATATATCAAAAGATTATAAAGATTTATTCGATGAATATGAAGTTGAGTACACAGACTTTGTTAGAACGACAGAGGAGAGACATAAGAAAGCCGTTTCTCATTTCTGGGTAATACTTTATTTTGGAATATATATATTAATTACATAATTGAAAGTCAGTGGTGGCCTAGTTATTAAAAGGCCCGCCTCTCATTCACGAGGGCGCGGGTTCAATCCTGGCAAGTACCAATGTGATTTTTCCGAGTCATATGTACTTTATAAGAGTATTTACACATCACTGATTAATGCATTCCCAAAGAGGGTTGATGTCAGGCAGGCGGCTGGTCGTAAAAACAATTAGCCAAAACTATTCACAACATGTAAAGCAGACCCTGGCTAAAGCTGGGAAATTGCATGGTAGAAGAAGACAAATTAATTAAATTATAAAGAAACTCAAACTAATATAATATTTTTATTATATAAAATATATGTTTACAGAGAAAGTTAGTGGAAAACGATTATATATATAAAGCAAAATATGCTGGATGGTATAGTGTGAATGATGAAGCATTTGTACCAGAAGCACATACAAGAGATGAAGTCACAGAAAATGGAAAAGTAAGATAAATTAATATTTATGAGACAATTCATCAGAAAATCTAGGAATCACCGAACTAATCTAATTTCTTATATATACTTTTAAATATGTATAATTTAAATGTTTATTTATATTATTGCATTTAATTCTAATTTAGGTTTCAAATTTTTTTGTAATAATGAAATCTAAGACTTTCATGAATATTCTTATAAATAAAACTAATATTTTTGGATTACTTTCTGATCATGGTGGTGGCAAAGTAACGTAACGTCGGGAGTATGTAGTTTAAAATAATAAAAAACGCGTGGTAATCCGAAAATATTAGTTTTATTTAAATATATTTGAATTTCTGTATCCAAAATCATATAACTGTAATATATTAAATTGAAGTTATTAAGAAAAACGATATAAATGAATTAATACAATAATTGGAGTTTATACAATAAAATATAGATCTGGCAGTTTATTTACATAATTGATACTTAAAAATTATTTAAAACACTTACTTTTTTATTATTATTCATATAATCATTGCATAATTATTCATTTAATGATATTCATATTAAATGAAATTTTAAATGAAACAATGTTTTTTCAATCCAAACATGTAGCAAAACAACTAAGTAATTCACATTTCAAAATTTTTTTTAATAGTAATGTGTTACCAAATAATTTTATAGTATAATATTATAATTATTAAAATTATTTTAAATTTCATTTTACAGATCAAAATATCTATAGAATCCGGTCACAGAGTAGATTGGACAGAGGAAACAAATTACATGTTCAGACTAAGTGCTTTTAAAACACATCTACACAAGTGGCTCAGCACAGGTAATATTAAATACCAACTGTAAAAAGAACTGTAATAAACTGTAGAAAAACAGAAAGCTGTGACATTATAACATTGTAATGTTCAGAAATTCTTAGTATATATGTTCTATAGTTGGAAATTGATTTCTAAAATAGGTATAATGATAAACATTTTGCATAACTATTATTATGATTTTTTTATTTATTAAGATACACCATCGACTTATCATAATAACTAACACAATATTATAATCCTCTAAATATACAATCCAGTATGATTTGCCTTTATAGGTGTATAGAACATTGTAATTATAATTTATTAACTGTTTGCTTGATAATAAGAAATAATTAAAAAAAGAGTAGGTATCAGCTATTATTTTTTAATATAACTATTTATATTTTTACTATAATTACTTTATATTCTATAAGAAATAAGTTTCTATAGATGAAAATAGATTGTTGGTTAAGTCAGATATTTAACATATCATATCATTCATCATTATAATATAATATACAGATGGTGTGATCGTTCCGAATAAGTTCCAAAAACAGTTGCAAGAATTGGTATCAAAAGATGCTTACCTTCCTGATATATCAGTGAGCAGACCGTCTGATAGAGTGCATTGGGCTATAAGGGTAAGTTAAAATACTAATTTACTAGGAAATAATAATTTATAGTATTTACTTAAATAAACGTGTCAACTGCAGCGCCATCTATATTCTGCGAGTGACATGTGAATTTGTACACAAGCAAATTTGAAGCTGATTTCATTAAGAAACTACATGGAATTATTTACTTACATTTTATATTCATGCCTTAGTTACATCGCTGGAACATTTTATCAAATGTTCAATGTTTTTAGTGTAGAAGGGCAACAAAGCTCAACAGATCCTCACAATAATTATTATTTTGTGAATATGAAATAATAGTTATTATGTAAAATATTTTATAAACTATTAATAAAGTTTTCTAAGAAATATGCTGTTTGATATTAACTTCTAGTAGCTCTTTTCTTTGACCGATTTTTTAAAAATATTGTAAACCAATAAGCTGTAATAAATTTTATGTTGTAAACTATGGATATAGTTTATGTAATTTTTTAAGAATTATAAAAAGTATTTCAGTTCTTAGTTTTTTTTCCATCTACATATCTTCTACTGTACCAATAACAAAACACAATCCAAATATATATTATAAATATCAATCTCTTTAAAAATATTATATACGTAAGGAATAAATAAATTTAAGCGCTGTTTATAAAACTGAATTCATAAGGGAATTTGTCAAATAAAATAAATACCTTATTTTATTTATATAATACCTAATTTGTCAAATCTTTATATACATAATTCTTTTGTGAGTGTGTATGTCACTGAACTTCTCTCAAACGACTGGACCGATTGTGATGAAGTTTTTTGTGTGTTTCAAGGGGTTCTGGGAGTGGTTTAGATTCACAATTTTGTCCACTGGACAATGTTTTTTTAAATTAATTTTTAATGTATTAGTAGTTGTTGATACAAACTTTTTTTTTGACATCAGTGTTGACAACTAACTAATATGTCAATCATTGTGTCGCACCTCAAAACAGGGAGATTTATGGCTTTAATGGGTAAACTCCAAAAATATAAATAAAAAAACGTAACAGATATTTCTTGATTATAGGGCGATATGAAGTTCGCCGGGTCTTCTAGTATAATTATAATTCCTTATAAGCGCTTTTCACCAGGTACCTGATGATGAAGAACAAAGTGTGTACGTGTGGTTGGATGCTCTGGTCAACTATTTAACAGTTTGTGGTTATGGAGAGAAAGACTGCGTTGGATGGCCAGCTGATGTACAGGTTGTGGGGAAAGATATATTGAAGTGAGTAGTTTGTATACATAGACGATATACTAAATTCATCTATAAACCTTTATGGAAATTTCGTTTTACCGTTTCTAATGTAATAAAGATGGTGAAAGGTTTAAATATAGTGATTGCCTCTGGTTTTCTCATTTAAAGATATAGGGACCGTTCAAGTATTACGTAATCAGATTTATTACAATTATTTACCCCCCCATCCCCCTTGTCAGCAAAAGTAAACAAAGCTCCTACCCCCTACCCCCATGCTTACGTAAACATTTTCAATTACTGTATTGTTTTTTTTAAAATATAAATCTATAAAAAAATTATAATTATATGTTTTTATGGATCTTCTCGATTTGATGATTAAAGAGTAAATAGCTACCGATGACGTAATCATAACCTAGACTAACTTATCCCCCTTGTCATCCAAAATAATCAAAGCAAAGACCCCCCCCCCCCCCGTTGCTTACGTAATACTTGTCTGGCCCCATAGTACCTAGTTTAGTTGAAAAGTGGTAGAGTATTTATTCTTGTTTGACAAGTGGGACTCAGATAATTATAGAGGTAAAATTTATTGTTTTATCTTATTCATTACTTATTACGAATTGTAATACTTACTCTGTTCTTTATAGAGTTGTAGATGAAGGACATAGAATATAATATGAATGAAGAAATTTCGTCTTATTTACTGCAATCAATCATATTTATATGAATTTTAAATTTTTACTTGAGACTAACACTAAAAATATTATTATTATTACTAATTAAGGTTCCACGGTATCTACTGGCCGGCATTTCTAATGGCGTCCGGGCGTCACCCGCCACGCCGGCTCGTGTGTCACGCTCATTGGACGGTGGATGGTTCTAAGATGTCCAAATCATTAGGGAACGTGGTCTCGCCTCGAGATACAGTCGCTCCAAACGCACTGCGGTATATGATGCTAAGGGAAGCTACTCTAGCTGATGATGCTAGTAAGTAAACACCCTAAAGTATAAAAAAAACTATCAGAAGTATAACCCCTACGAATTAACTGTGCACCTCGCTCTGTGACGTCATTAAAACGATACCGCTTGCAAAAAAAACTGAGAATTATATAAAAAATATATAAATTATAATTTTTTATATGTGATAAAGGGTTGTTTTTATGATAAGGCGTTATAATACTAGCAGTGGCGGCTGTACCTTAAGTGCACTCGTGCGCTGAACCACCAATTCCAAAGATTTAAAAATTACAAAATATTACTTCATCTTTAATTTTAAATTACCATTTTATTATTTAAACATATAAAATCGTATAAAAAATTAAATTTCCTAATTATGGTCAAAAAGTTTGAGCGCTTTACTAAACTCATATCGTGCGCTTCGGCGAGTGCACGAGGACTCCTAATAAGTCTTGTATGAGATAGGAATGAATACGCCTGACGCGTGAAACAAAAGATACTTCATAGAAATGTACCGAGTAATGAGTCGCTTCTCGAGCGCCGCACGAGCGGCCGAAGATTACCGAGAGCACCCGATGTATGATGAATTGAGCCATGATTGACATCTCGTTATGTTTTGTTGCATTTTCTAATTTTAATATTTTAGTAAAGTGCACCACCGGTTCCATTACCCACCGGCCGCCACTGAATACTAGGTCATTTTACTCACGATTAAATAGATACATATGAACCGATATGATATTACAGCTTGGCAATAAAAAAACGGCAAGTGGACGCTAGATTTTTTATTGCAGTGATATTTTTCATAGTTTAAGATAATTTTTGTATTTCATAATAAGTAAATGTAACAAAGATGCTATCGCTACCGAGCGCTTGCGGCGAATGCGGGGCGTCACGCGGGGTAGCGGGAGAGGGGTCGCATTCCAAAGAAGTGCACAGTTAATTCGTAGGGGTTATATGTAAAAGCCCTAATGATAAAAAAAAATGATTACATGCCCTTAATGTACTTAAAAAAAACTATTAATAGTACTTTCTATGTAAAAGCCCTAATTATATAAAAGGACTATCCTTTAATATGTAACCTATACAGGGTGACTGGTGAATTACTATCGATATTTGAGGACGTGATATTTGACGATCATATATGACGAAATAAAAATTAATATAACATAAATATTAATAAACTTCTAAGTAAAGTTAACCAAAAGTTGTGTAATTAATTACGCATCGTATGAACACCCTACAGATTAGGTATACACTGACACTCACACATACGCGTGTCGTGACGTAGTGTTGTATCAGCACGTCGCCGCACGCGTCCACACTTGAACATTTGGAACGTGTCAACACTTTACTTATTATTACGGAAATTTTGTCAAAAATTAAGTGCCTTTTTTTTACATAATTCGAATGAGAATCATGTACCGAGTATTCTCCTTAAATATTGATAGTAATTCACCAGTCACCCTGTATATGTAATATTAATATAACATTTTTAATCTCAATATAATATTATATAATTATTTTTTCTGCTGTTAACATTGTTATAAAAAATATTCTTTATGTCAAATATATAGCAAAAATCTGAAGTATGTAACACCACTTGAAATGCTTCAAAAGACATAGATTATATTATGTTAAAATTAGATTTCAGCTCAACCAAGTTATTGAACATTGCTAACTCAGAGTTAGCGGACACGTTGGGTAACCTCGCCGCGCGCGTCACGGGCTCCGCTCTAAACCCTAGAGAGGAATTCCCCGCAAATAAGGGAATACAACATGAATTGGCTACGCGTTTGATGGACCAAATTGATAGATTACCTGGTGAGAGAGAAATTTTATATATTAACACTAAATATATTAGTAAATTTATATACATATTATACAGGTGTATGAAAAACTGTGTCAACCCTCTTAACTACGTTATTAGTATCGAAAATGTAACACAATAAACCAACTTACATTTACAAACTCATCAATATAAATAAAAAAATTAAATATTAAATGATTATTATACGTAGAGTAACAAAATGTTCGTAAACCCTGCCGTTGCGACTATATGGTGTCTTGACCTTGTATGAGTCATATGTTTGGAACATTTCTTCGAATAATGTCGATTTAAAACTTATTTGCCTATGCACTGTAACTGACGTCTGCTTGATATTTTTTAAGTTATACTATTTTTTATAATAAGCTTATACTTATATGTATACATGCCTTCAAGGGTTGACACAGTTTTTCATACACCCTGTATAATGTATATATGCTGTAGAATAGTTATAAATACTTTTTTAATTTCGGAATTTACTTGTCTGTGGATACTATACTAGTTTCTGTGTATATATAAATACATGCCTATAAATAACAAAAAACAAACTCTTTTACTTTTATAAAAAATATGTAGTCAATCCTCAATTTTACCGAAAATTTGTCTTATTATAATTTTAATAACGCTAACAATATAATTTAATACGAGATTTAATACGAGAGAAGTTACAAATAAATTCCTTAAATATCTTTCAGACGAATGCCACACTCATTACAGCAATTATCAGTTCTATAAAGTGGTTGATGCTGTAATGAAAGTCTTGCATATAGGAAATCTCTTCTTCGAGACTCTCAAACCATGGGAATTGAAGAAAATGAATCGCCAAGAAGAATTGGATGCTGTCATACATATAACGATGGAAACATTGAGAATTTGCTCGATAATTCTACAACCTATAATTCCATCGCTATCGAATAAATTGTTAGACAAACTACAAATACCAAAAGATGAAAGATTATGGCAAAACTGCCAAGGATCGTGGATAAATGGGGTTACGGAGACAAAGAAAATACAAAGCGGAAAATTCGTGTTATTTCCAAGAATATATGTGGATAAAAAAGATGCTCAGAAGAAGAAAGCTAAATCGTAAAATTTATGAATCGTTTCACTAAACTTTATGTTAGAGGTTATTTGTGTCAAATGTTTTAATTGGTTCCAAAAAATTAGAAAAATAAACCGGTATTAGTTGTAAAATAACCAAGTTAGTCAATAATCTTTGTACAGAATTGTTATATTAAATTTCTGTTTGTTACGATTTTGTAGTCTTTTTTCTCATTTAGCAAACTTTCAACCTGTTTTTAAATTTATAATGTTCGTACATAGGTACATTATCATCTTTGTCAGCTAATCGAAGCCTAGTGTTAAGCAAAAGCCTCTTCTCACATGGAGAAGGTTAAAGCATTAATAAATAATAATCAACCCTCTAGCTCAAGTAGGATTGGAGAATTCGGACTCGTAATTGTGAAATTATAAGTCCAGGTTTCCTCACTATGTTTTCCTTCACCGTTTGTCAGGCTGTCTACATGCTCTTAGAAAGTACATATGACTCGGAAAAATCACATTGGTACTTGCCAGGTTTCAAACCCTCATGCACGAGAGGCGGGCCTTTAACCACTAGGTCACCACGACCACATATATCTTATATATTTTTAACATTGTTACGTATTATAAATTTCTTGTAACTGTACTTTACATTATAAAATAAATTATTTCAAAACAATCTTCCATCGCTCTGGGATGTTTAACAGAAACAGCAATTCTATATCGGAGTCAATTTATTTATGAATACACTTATTAAATAATATTTGCATCAAAATACTGCAATAACGACTAACAGTATCAAGAAAGCTAAGTTTACAATCCACTAAGACGCTAGAACCCGCCACTTGACAACTACGCGAAAATAAACCTTAATTTAACAAAATATAAAACTTATATTCGCGTAATTCTACAACCGACTCTCACAACAGGCCCTTACTATAAATACAAATAATATCTCAATACATTTAGTCGAAAATGCATCAATGAGTATAATACAGGTATGAGAATTAATGCGTGGAACGGAACGCAACACTTCGAATTACGTTCCGTTGCACGCGTCAAGTAAATAATTACGTAACACCTAATAAAACTCGGTGAAGTAAATACTCGCGATTCTAATTTGTATTTCACTGTGCGTTCAAGAGACACGTACGAAATTAATTTAATTTACAGTCGATTTAATATGAATCTTCTAGAATAATTCCACAAATTCTATTATTCAACTGCAAATTAAAATAAATTCAAGTATCAATATGAGGAACTCGTATAACTCCAAGCATATGGCGATTTCGTTATGGAATGAAAGCAGTCGGTGAGATATTTAATAAAATGTGCGATAATATTTTACCATCGACAACAACGTGTGAGATTTGATTAAAAATATATATAAAAATAGAAAATCCTGTTATTATATTGTTATTAAAAGAAATTATTAATCATTAAAGCGTTCATCGGCCGTGCTTAGCTAGATCTATGTGAGCAAATTGACGTGTATACAAACTTATATATTATTAAATATATATTATATTTTACATCAAATCTCACACAACATATCCTAGGGACATCACTGACTTGCAACGTCAGTCAAACAGACGTTAAGATCCAAAAGTACAATAAAACTTACACATCAAAACGCTCCTTATATCTACACGATAGTGTATAACCATGTGTATAGCGATGGAAATATATCTTGTGCTTCACTTTCAATATAAAATTAATTGAACTTCTTTCAAAAATTAATTCGAGACATCCTTATACTATTACAAAAACAAATTGTTTGAATTTAAAAACATTACAGTAACAACCATGACACCTTTCCGAATTACATCAAGATAGAAATCTCACGAATCGAAAAAACTCTTAAAAATTCCAATATAATATTAAATATAAAATAATCATATATATTAAAAAACATTCACCGATAATATATATTTTTTCTTTTTACAATTATTGCTCGATAAGTTACTATATTTGTGGTTTAATTGCATTACTGGTACGTTTATTACATCAGTATGTAAAAAAATAGTTTTTTTGCATTGAAATAAAAGCATTCATTTATATCTCTAAGTGAGGTCATATATCTGTAGTGAGTTCATCTACGGAACCCGTTAAGCAATCTACAGCATTTTCCCAACCCGCGGGTCGCTAGACTGTTAGCGATAATATTAATAATAATAATTTTATATGTTATAAATATATATTTCGTCATCCAAATATTGCGACCCTCGAGTTGAGAAACTCTGATCTACACCATACTCTCTTATCCGATTTAAAAAATAAAAACTTCAGTAACTACTAACGATCTATCGAAGCCTTCCTATTCTATATCGAAACGACGCCAAAGACAAGCGAATATTGAAAAAAATAAATCCAACCATACAAATACACATGTACCATACAATAAATAATATCAAATCAAATAAAAACGACGATGGTTGTTCAAGAAATAAATTAACTAGTGAGGTAATCGAGACATGACGTTCATAAAATACATTAATTTACACAAAATACATAATAATCGTTAAGAAAATATTTGTACAATATAAGTGTTGCCATCGTCGTTTAAAACAATATTGTTCGACAATTTGAGCTACACGTTATAAAATCAGTCGAATTAAAATAATATATTACCAATAATAATAATTAAAACCTGTCAAAAATTACATAAAATTCCATTCCATCATACAAATATAATAAAAATTCTCCACATACACAAATTTCCTTATACTAAATTTGTTCATGATCTTTCTTGTCATATTTGAATGACTGTTTGTGAATCTTTTAAGGGCAAGATTTTTTTCTAGACAATTCTCTTAACACCAATCGTTTAAAACAATGAAAAACAGTAATTCAAATGAGACGCCATTTTAACTGTCATATTGGATAGCTACGTATACGTTGCAATTCGGTTCAAAATGAATTCATTCGACAAACAAAACCGTGTTCATCCCTGGTTTAAATCTAACTGTTAGTTTTCTTGGACGTATAAATTATATGTCCGTGTGTTGTATATTCAGTTGCGAACTTATTAACCGTGAATATAAAATAACCGTCCGTAAAATGATCGGTATAATCGGTTATTTCGGTCAGCTGTTCTGTTCGGTTCCGGTTTGAACCTCGTTCGGTGCGTTTTGAACATCGTTCGGTGTGGTTTGAACATCGGGCGTCTTGTTTGGCGTGTCGTTGGAGGAGTTTGGCGCCGGTGATGAAGGTTGTAACAAATGTTCGGGAACCGGGATAGGTCTAAGACGAGCCGGAATCTTCTTTTGGGGACACAGAACCTGAAATTAATTACAATAAGAAACTATATAATAATTGAATACTATATATGTATATATAACTTAGGTTATGTATAATCCCTATATCCTAAACACAAATATACATAGACAAACTAAATAGTTTTAAATTTTTCTCTTGTAAACTTCGAAGTTTATCGATACATTGTGCGGTGGTTTAAATGAAAAACTGATAACGCTCCGTATTTAGTATGAAAGACGATATGAATGTTAAAATATGTACGTAGTTTTAAGAATAAATGTGTATGAGATTGTGTATATATGTACATGTGTGTGTGTGTCTTCTTCTTCCTGGCAATTTCCCAGCTTAAGCCAGGGTGTGCCTTACATGTTGTTAATAGTTTTGGCTAATTTTACGACCGGCCACCTGCCTGACATCAACCTTCTTTGGGAATACATTAATCAGTGGTGTCTAAATACTCTTAGAAAGTATATATGAGTCGGAAAAATCATATTGGTACTTGCCAGGATCGAACCCGCGCCCTTATGCATGAGAGGCGGGCCTTTTAACCACTAGGACACTCACTACTGACTTGTATGTATGTGTGTGTGTGTATGTGTGTGTGTGTGTGTACGAACATAATGAACACCTATGTCTATATGTGTTTTTGTCTGTGTACAGTGGATGAGAGTTCATATGACTTGTGTATCTATGTGTGTGTGTGTGTTTTTACCCTGTGCGCGAGTCCGCAGCAGCCGGCTGTAGTCTCCCGCGGCGGGGTGGGTGATAGAGATAGATCCTGACTGCGACACTCACGACCTGAATCCTCTGAAAAAAAAATACAACATATTAATGATATATAAGACTTTAGTTAACTAATTTTTTGATATCACTACGCGTATTTTTATTATTTTCCAACTACATAATGCCGAAGTTTCGGTTACTTTGAAGCAACTCACGAGATGAAATTGTTGAAGAACTTAGTTTTATTTAAATATGACATATTGGCTGAACTGTTTAGACCCTTGTATAATATATTTATTTTATAAATAGATTATTTTGATCTCATAAGTATAGGAAGAAAGATTTAAATTTTCCAAGCAGAATTAAATCATACGTTGTTAAAATATAATTATATTTTCAACATGAAATCAATATCAAACACAAAATAGGATTGGTAATCATATAAATGATATAGAATAACAAATTCATCGATACGAGTAAGGGCATAATCTTAGTTGGTAAAGTAACTGAAACGTGATAACTCAAATATTGCAAATTGTACTTGTAATTCCACTTCATATACTATATATTAAGGTTTTGATTAATTATTTTAAAGTCGCGTAGGTTTATAAGACAACTATACATTTTGAATAATTTTGTTAGCGTTTCGTTCTTACCCCTTTAGTTTTTGCCCGCGACTTCGCCGCGTTAATTTCAATCCGCGTCAATCGTAATACTTTTTTCTTTGTTCTGATTTGATTATTTATATTTTTGGACTAATAAAGTGCGACAGAATGATTGACATATTAGTTAGTTGTCAAATCTAATGTCAAAAAAACGTTTGTATGGGAAATAGAAAAGGACTGTTTTTAGTATTTTCGCGGATATGAATCCATTTTTTATCAGCTTTTAAACCTTCCCTGAACCTCCACGAAAATTTCAAGACTAAGATAAGATAAATCCGTTCAGCCGTTCTCGAGTTTTAGTGAGACTAACGAACAGCAATTCATATATATATTATTAATATGTTCATATGTATGTTTATATATATCATGATATTCTCACCAGCGAACACATTGAGTTCGTTAAAGCACCCGGTTTCTATCATCTCTCTCTGCCACGGTATACTGACGGAGCCGGTACTAAACTTGCAGTAGAACGAATCATCTCCCGCATCCAGATTCACTCCCTTCACTGTTGAGAACTGCTCGATATCTAACACGTCCTTCGCGTATACAGCGTGGGGCTGAAATATAATATACAGGGTGTTCATTCTATGTTCTGTTCAGAAACTTTGTAATAATTAGTACTATATTAGCACAAGGTTTATGGGTTTATTACTATTATTAGAGTTATTAAAGATATGGAGTGAAAATGTATTTGTCTATATTCTATTATCAAACAATGCTTGTATATATTCTAATGAATGAAAATAGAAGAGGTTTTATAATTAAAATAATAATTTGTATGGATAATTAGTAATAATAAAAGTGATAGACTTTATGTAATTTATATATACAGGGTGACTGATGAATTACTATCAATATTTAAGGAGAATACTCGGTACATGATTCTCATTCGAATTATGTAAAAAAAATAGGCACTTAATTTTTGACCAAATTTCCGTATAAATAAATAAAGTGTGGACACGTTCCAAGTGTTCCAAGTGTGGACGCGTGCGGCGGCGTGCTGATACAACACGACGCCGCCGCACGCGCGTGTGTGTGTGGGTGTATACCTAATCCGTAGGGTGTTCACACGATGCGTAATTAATTACATAACTTTTGGTTAACTTTACTTAGACGTTAATAATATTTATGTTATATTAATTTTTATTTTGTCATATATGATCGTCAAATATCACGTCCTCAAGTATCGATAGTAATTCACCAGTCACCCTGTATATATATATATATACGACAATAAAGTTATGTTATTAATTACGCATCGTGTGAAAACCCTACAGATTAGGTATACACACACACTCACACATACGCGTCGGCGGCGTAGTGTTGTATCAGCACGCCGCCGCACGCGTCCACACTTGGAACACTTGGAACGTGTCAACACTTTATTTATTTATACGGAAATTTTGTCAAAAATTAAGTGCCTATTTTTATTACATAATTCGAATGAGAATCATGTACCGAGTATTCTCCTTAAATATTGATAGTAATTCACCAGTCACCCTGTATATACACAAGGAGTTTATATATAAAATCTCTTTGGTACATTGGCAGAATACATCAATACCTATCCATGAACTATGGCTATTAAAAATAAACTAACGTCAGGAACAAACGGCGCGTCAACCATGCCAGCTTCTAATCGCGCCCAGTTCATATTAGCGAAGAACCTGTGCGCCTTAACTTGCCGCGCGCCGCGACGTCCCCCGCTCGCGCCAAGCCGCCCCGCAGCAGCCTTCACTAACAGCGACGAACATAATGCGCGTGCGCACTCGCTGAACTTACTGCTGTATTTTTCTTGCTCGTGCTGTTGAAGGAAATTAATATTAATTTGTGATTATTTTAACGCATATTATAGGTAGTATTGAATAATAGAATCAGGTGATATAGTATTCATACTAGCTACTTTGTAATTGAATATTAATTTGTGATTATTGTAACACATCTTATTTGTAGTGCTGAATAATTAAATCAGGTGACATAGTATACATAGTAGTTACATTTATAGCTAGTTGATGAGCTCAAATGTTAATAGAATTTTCTGTATTTCCATAGAAATAAATTTGGCAATACTATAAAGGTAATTTGTATTTTAAATTCTTTATACTTTTTTTGCTGACATGAGATTGTAGAATCAGATGTTAAGTAAATATATGTGATGACTATGTACCCATTAACAACGTAGAAATTTATTGGAATATACTATACAAAATTATTGCTTACACACGTTCAGAACTACATATTACATAGATTTAAACAAACATTAAGCTTCGTAGAAACCATTAGAATTTATAATTTAACATATGAAATCCACAAAATTCCAACTACCCTCACTTTTAATTGTCCCATTGAAGGTCAAATATGGAACTGTAAGTCCTAACAGTTCTATATCTGACCTTTGACCTTTTAAAGCGTATTTGACCTCACCTTGACCCTCCGGTCGACCTCCTCCCTCTTGACCTTCTCTTTCCGCGCTCTAAACGGAGCGCGACCCTCTATCATCTCATAAACTAGACATCCAAACGAAAACCAGTCCGGGCTGAATGTATAACGCTCGTTGTCTATCACCTGGAAAAAAATATGATAACGTTACTATGGTTTTGTAATATAATTAACGCTTTGAATTTACCGCAAAACACTTTTAAATCTGCCCACAATGTATTGATTTAATATAAACGTTTAAGTTAGCTGTGTCATTGATGCGTTCAATTTCTGTTAAGAACAAACCGTCTTAAATTTGAAAACATTAAAATTGAGTTTAAAATAAATTATTAATATTTATATAGAAAAACAATAAACTGAGCCAATTTATGAGGATTCTAAATTAAAAATTTCAATTGACTATTTTAATCGTTCCGGTCCTCATTATCACGATATTTAATTTCCATAAAAATTAATTCTGGGGTGATGCTTAACGTCATATTTCACGGTTTACAATTCACTATCGGGGGCTTGATGCTGAAATTCCTCATATAATAATTAAATATACAGAATAGAAATGTCCATATGTTAATTTTTCTACTAATGTATATCCTTCAATTTAACTATAATAGTATGTTTGGGTTGACGTCAGGCAGGCGACCGGTCGTGAAAACAATTAGCCAAAACTAATGAGATCTAAGATTTTCGCGAGTACTCATTTAAATGAAACTAATATTTTCGGATTTTACTTCGCGTTTTTTATTTTTGATTACGAACTACATACTCATGTGATCACATCTCGTCTGCCCGTGATCACGGTTGCTGAAAAGTAGCCGAAACGTCGGGAGTAGCCAAAACTATTCAACATGTAAGGCAGACCCTGGCTAAATCTGGGAAATTGCCAGGTAGAAGTAATGTAAACAAACCTCAGGCGCCATATACCCCACTGTACCAACTCGACCCCTGACTCCGCCTGTTTCCGGTACATCTACAGCAAGCCCGAGATCAGAAATACGGACATGGCCAGCGTCATCCAATAAAATGTTCTCTGGCTTGCAATCCCTGGAAAAATAATGAAGAAATACATTAAAAAAGGGTTATGTTGGCCTAGAGGTTAAAAGGTCAAGTGCATTAAGGCACAGGTTCGAAACCTGGCAAGTACCAAAGTGATTTTTAAGTCATATGTATTTTCCAATAAAATTTAGACAACACTTAAGACGGTAAAGGAAAAATCGTGAGTAAATCTGGACTTTAAATTTTAATTGTAAGTACCAAATCGCCAACCTGTCTTGAACGAGCAATCCTACTAATATTATAATTGCGAAAGTTTGTGAGTATGTGTTTATGTTTGTTACTTCTTCACGCTCAAACGGCTGAACCGATTTTGATAAAATTTTGTATACAGGAAGCTGACGTATAGGAATAACACATAGGCTAAAGTAGCACTTTCCATCCCGGAGGTAACACCGCGGGGCGCAGATAGTAAAATAATAAGAAAGGGTCATTAAGAATAGATTGTAGTGGCCTAGAGGTTAAGGGTCAACCTTTCGTGCATGAGGGTGCAGGTTCGAAACCTGGCAATTACCAATGTGATTTTTAAGTCATATGAACTTTCTAAGAGTATTTAGACATACTGATAAACAGTGAAGGAAAACTTTGTGAGGAAATCTTGACTTTAAATTTCAAATTGTAAGTTTGAAATCACCAACCCGTCTTGAGCAAGCGTGGTGATTAATGCTCAAACCTTCTCCATGTGAGAAGAGGCCTTTGCTCAGCAGAGGGCTCTGATAGGCTTATAATGATAATTAAAATTTATCCACACAAAGAATACATTCAGTATGAAACCATAATACAATGTCAATATTGACAAACTATTAATTCATCTTAAATTAGGGACTGTAGCTTAAGCATCAAAGCAATTAGAGTGTTATAATTCAAAGTTAAATTCGAACCTGTTCGTGTCGATATTTTTATTTCAAGTAAAGATCTCAGCATAAGGCTGCTCACACACTCTTCTCAGTCTTAATACCTGTAAACGATGCCCATTCTGTGTAGATGTTCAAGTCCGCAGGCGACCTGCGCCGCGTAGAACCTCGCTCGTTCCAATCCTAACCCGCTTTCAGCACCACACATATTGTATATATGGAACTTTAGATCACCACCTGAATGATATAAAATGAAACTTCTCATCATTCAATGTATTCATATGCGTGTGTCGGGTCCATCGTTGTAGAGAGGAGCTTCAACAGTGACTGGGACTTGTGACCCAGGTGTAGGTTTAAGGGTCCCTATCTATCGCGTTATACGCTCACCTCCACTGTCCAAGCTCCTCTCTCTACTAAACCAAATTTATGTTCCAAAAAAGAGCTTATATTTGTATGTAGGTATGATAGTAAGAGAATCACAAGAATCAAATTTCAAAAAAACAAAAATCAGACGAAACAAAATTCCTCTTAAGTAACTACTTTCAAAAAACTACCAGCAATTTCTTTGAACAAAAATCCAATTTCTAAGAATAATTTTCTTTGATTTAAAATCGAAATTATATCTCTGGGCTATAATGTTCGAAAATCTACTTAAATCCTCTTAAAATTTAAATATATGATAAATCTAAATGAAAATACTTCATATATGTAATGGCATTACATTTCATTGTCTCATACTAAAGATCTATCTAATAAACTCACCATTCATAATAGTTAGGACCAGACACAGAGCGTCCTTAGTTTCGTAGGCGTACGCTAAATTAACGACGAATCTTGAGTTTATTCTTTGCAGGATTTGTTTCTCAATCAACACCATGGCCTCGCCTTTCCTCTTCTTAATACGTTTCTTTTCCAATTTCTTGCATGCGTACATTTTGCCAGTGGCTCTCACCTGAGGAATGAGAATTAGGATTTCATATTGTTTTCAATATACTGAACTTTTCCATAGCATTTTTGTGTATGTCTTTCTTCCAAATTATCCTTCCTAAAGTTGTTTAAATTAGCACTAAATTCAACTAGCTTGAGATCTTATTAACAGAAAGTAAGACGACGGCTCAAAGACGGCATTAACTACGTTTAATTAAGTTTTTTATGCCCAGAGGAAAAAAATATTTGCGCACAATAAATATTAAGGAATTTTCAAATCAGTAAAAAGTTATAGATGCGCATGAAAAAACAATAACAAAAGACTATTTTCTTTAATAATCTGATTGTAAGTGAAACGAGATTATCAAATCTGGCCGCTGATAAAACATTTCTTATCAATACTAATGAAGAACAATTTAGTAAAAATCTAATACTTTATAATTTTTTCTTTCATTCATCCATATATTTAGTGATATCTAAATAAGTTTGATTAGTTAAATGCTTATAAAACTACTAGTAGTACTAAATTAAGACTTCCATTTACCTGACAGGCGCAGACTTCCCCAAAACCTCCTTTACCCAACACCCTGTACATTCTGAATGTGTTTTGAGTGACCGGTTGAGCTTCTAACCACTTCCATTGTAAATATCTATGAAAGTACATTGACCTCTCGAATTCCGCGAACGGAGTACCCGCTAAATGACTCTTCACACATCGGATGCATTCGCTGAAGATATCCTTGGAACCGCCAGAAAAGGTGAAATCTGGAATATTCCTTAATATACATACGAGTCATATGTACTTTCTAAGAGTATTTAGACATCACTGATTAATGCATTCCCAAAAAGGGTTGATGTCTACGGCAGCCGGTCGTAGAAACAATTAGCCAAAACTGTTCACAACATGTAAGGCAAACCCTGGATAAAGATGGGAAATTGCCAGGTAGAAGATAGAATCATTAATACTTATAAATTAGTGTATTGATTTTATTAAAGACTCTCACTGTTTTTTTTTATAGGATATCATTACATTGGTGAAGCTTGCATTTATTATGTTAGTATACCTTAATCTATTTATGTTAAAACATATTATTAGTATCCAATCATAAGATGTTTTTATATTGATAAATCTTGTATTTCTTTGTGATATACAATTGTGACTATTTCTTCACATCAAAATATATATAAATAATCCTTGAGATTAAATTTTTAATACACCTAACTAAGGCTTATGTAAATTAAATTACAAAATTCTTCCAACATCCCATTTATACATTTTTTCAGAAGTCTCTATGAATATGGTAACATAATTACTAAGATTATGACAAATTTGAAATTTTTAATTACATATTAACTACCTATTTCCTTGGCAATATTATTTATGTTGATTATGGTTAAAAGAGTTTAAGTCCGGGTATAGTAATTAGTTTTTGAATGCTGTCAAAGGTTTATTAGTGTATTTCTATCGTTAAAGGTATATTTAATAGTCCATAAACCTTTTGCTTTTGTTTAATAGTTCTATATAGTCCAAGGACGTCAAATAAGTGTCAAGTTCACATTGGTTCTTAAGATAATATTCTGGGAATTTATTACATTAATTATTTAAGTTTGAGTATAGTTATTCTCATACACCAATTATAAGTATAAAAAGGTTTAATTGTTGAATTTGTATTAATTCTTGTCTATTTTCTGTAAGTTTATTATGGCATATTAATTATAAAAGTTTAATTTCAGTTTTATAATATAGTGGTCTGGTCTCCACTTTATTCAGGATTTCTGGAAGAGGTCTCTTGTTAGAGATAAGATATCCCTTGTACACATGTATTATTAACAATTTACTGTATACTTTGTTGGTACAAAAATAAATAATAAATAAATAAAATAAATAAATATAGGCCTAATATATTACTTTAACTGTTAAGGATGTTGGCAGAATTATTATCAGAATAAAATACAAGTTTATTTAGTAACAACAGAAGAATATCTAAAAGCAAATAGAAGAACATTCCATTATTGCAATTTTGATTACTGCTTGTTTAAATGAATATTCTAAATTATCAATTTGAATTGAGCTTCAATTAATTATTAAAAATATCAATTTATTGAGATTGTCGTTTAAAATCTTTCATATTATTTTGAATTAAAACATCTCATGCAACCTTTCAACAAGGTTTCGTATAACGTTTAACGCTCTGGAGAGGGAATAGAAAGAGACGGAACGAGATTAAATTGATTGGTCAATTGTGAATTATAAGCAAATTTTTATAAAGTTTGTCTTAAAGAAACAATATGAATTCACTAAAAACTGATTTCTATCCCTTCCTATTTCCATTTATACATTATTAATTTTGCACTTGTTCTGGGAAAGACTTCACGTACTATTTTCTTCTACGACTCTTACCTTCGAGTAATTTGCTTGCGTCATTGATGACGTCAGACGGCACTACGTCAGTGACGGCGTCTACGTCATCAGTCTTCAGATACCGTCCGAAGACCTCAGCTGCTAGAGACACCCTCGTTTCGTCGACCTCAACTTCGAATCTCTCCGCCTGGAAACTCAAAAGCTGGAATACGGGAAGTATGTGTGATGTGTTGAATGTTTTGATATTATTCTGGAAGTGATGCAAATTATATTGTATTGTTTGTACTGCAAATTGCTGCAAAAGCTATTGTATTTTAAACTTCTTCTGGACATTTTTTTTTGCCAGCAGCTTCTTTATTTTTGAAAAGAATTATTTTAAAGAAGTTATTCAAGATTCTGCCTATTTTGAGTTTGTAGATACTCCAACAAAGTATAATTTTTGCTTCTTGAAATATGTAAGGTTTTTTTATGTAAAGTAATAGTTTTTGAACACTAATATTTATAACTAGCTTTCCGCCCGCAGCTTCGCCCGCGTGGATTTCGGTTATATTGCGTTTCCAAGAGAACTTTTCAAAAGTCTGGGATAAAAACTATCCTATGTTCTTTCTCAAGGTCAACTCTATCTCTGTACCAAATTTAATTAAAACCAGTCCAGTAGTTTAGGCGTGAAAGCGTAACAGACGGACAGACAGAGTTACTTTTGCATTTATAATATTAGTAGGGATGTATAAAAAGAAATCAATGGATATTACCGCCTTAATGATCTGTACAAATATTGACTATACTAAATGAAACTAATATTTTCGGATTATCTCGTCTTCGTGATCACGGTTGCTGCATAGTAACCGAAAATATTAGTTTCATTTAAATGAATACTCGCGAAAGTATTACATCTCATTGTTGACTATACTAGTTTATGTCCTCGACTTCATCTACTTCGACTACTGAATTATATTTAGAAAGACGTATTAGTTATTACCAACCCACGCATTAATCGAACTCAAAGAAAGTTTGTCACGACAAATACTATCAAAGATCATCTTAAGAAAACCTATACAAATATGCAACAATAGTCAGTGGTGGCCAAGTGGTTAAAAGGCCCGCCTTGTATGCACGAGGGCGCGGGTTCGATCCTGGCCCGGGCAAGTACTAATATTATTTTTCCGAGTCATATGTACTTTCTAAGATTATTTAGATATCACTGATTAATGCTGATTCCCAAAAGAGAGTTGATGTCAGGCAGGCGGCCAGTTGTAAAACAATTAGCCAAAACTATTCACAACATGTAAGGCAGACAATGGCTAAAGCCGGGAAATTGCCAGGAAGAAGGAAGGCAACGAAAGCTTAAATCCAGTAGAAAATATAACATTAATAAAAAAGCTTGTTAAACTCTTAAGAAACAATCACAGCGATATTTCCAACATAATATTTTTATTAACCAATTAATCTAAGCGGTAAAAGAGATCGTTAAATTTAACTTCGTCATTAAAACGTCATAATTACAATACTAAAGCTATTGAAAGAACATAAAGCCATGATTAACACACGCTCTGTTAAACACGGTTTAATAACAAAAGGATTTCAAATATATACGATTAAAAAGAGCCTGTATTGTCTCGAGTCAATTGACATACTCATTCACTTTTCATTGTACATTAAAAATTTATATTTGTAGCTCACTGGGTCATGAAGTATGATAATAATCTAACTTTTAAAATAATTAATTTCCATTTCTAATTAATTACAATGTTATTTTTACATCAGTACAAGGTATACCACGAGTTGGCATAGCTGAAATAAACTCACAGTTTCTAGTATTTACGTCACTTAGTAATATAATACCATGTGCAACGATTAGGAATTACAAACTGTTAACTGCTTAGTTTGTAGTGCAAACTAGTGGTAAGGTTATATAGTACATTATACAGGGTGACTGGTGAATTACTATCGATACTTGAGGACGTGATATTTGACGATCATATATGACAAAATAAAAATTAATATAACATAAATATTAATAAACTTCTAAGTAAAGTTAACCAAAAGTTATGTAATTAATTACGCGTAGTGTGAACACCCTACAGATTAGGTATACACACACAAACATGCGCGTGCGGCGGCGTAGTGTTGTATCAGCACGCCGCCGCACGCGTCCACACTTGGAACACTTGGAACGTGTCAACACTTTATTTATTTATACGGAAATTTTGACAAAAATTAAGTGCCTATTTTTTTTACATAATTCGAATGAGAATCATGTACCGAGTATTCTCCTTAAATATTGATAGTAATTCACCAGTCACCCTGTATATACATGTACATTCTTATGAAAAATTTGCAAACATATAATTTGTGGTATAACTAGTAGTTACCGGCGAATTCGTTTATCTTTTAACTATCTCAAACTGCACTAAGATTAACAATTTACGAATTTCTATTCACAAATATTTATTATGAAAAAAAAATTACTCACAATCAAGAGACCATGGTTTTTTGGGGATAATCTTATTCCTAAACTATATTACAAAATAGATATAAACTAACCAAAATATCCAATTTATACACAATCATACAAAACTAAAACCTATAATTTGTTTAATACTGTATAAAGTTTATATCGCGTTATTTTCCTAAACTGATCAACAAGCGTGGGTTGTAACTGGAGGATATTGATATTTCTATCAACAGTCAGAGGATGTTGGATACATATGAATTATCCCAACATAATATATAATGCATTTAATGCAACCATAAATCATTTGATATAGAGGAACTTTTAATTAGCACTGAGTTTTCGTTTGAGAAACAAATTAAAGTAATTCTTAGCTTAATTACTGCAAGTGTTATTGTCACAATCTTCACGTCGAAATCTTTTTATTTTATTTTCAAAAAAAACTTCTAATAGACTTCCCTAATTGTAGTTTGTAAAAAAAAAAAACATTAAATATTTAGAATGTTTTATAGCATTATTGACTAACTTAAAGGACTTGGACCAACAATATTTTCTCTCATGAAATGTAGAATAGGTTTTTTAATAATTTTTTACCATTTTTTGCTATAAACCTATAGATAATATAATCACCAAAAAAACGAACTTAATCTTCTTTAAATATAATGAATACTGACCGCATCCAAGAAACTGTTGTATTTGTGGTAGTGTGGGCGATTTCTTTCGCAGAACTGCCTGAATAGCAGCTTGCCTATCGGCTGCTGGTCTACCACGTAGTCGTATTCTACATCTGGAAGAAACAGAACATCACTAAATAAAAATACCAATTATAAAACCAATAACATTATTTAAAAGAATATAGTACCAACAGCAATCAAGTAGCAAACGAATCACACTCACAAACAAACAACACACACACACGCACACATAAATATATTAATGCCCATTCGTCTAATTAAATTTTTAGTGTGAATAAAGTAATCAGAGTTAGCACGTATTGCATTTTTCACTAACAACATAATATTGATAAAGACCTTTTGTCAATATAAATTCCTAAAGCACAAAAAAATTTAACTGCTTTTTTACTTAAGAGTAAGTCTATTTAATGTTTGAGTATTTACTTTTGAATAATAACTTATGACAATTAAGAGTAAGGATCAAGCGCTGTCAAGTATTTTTTTACTTGATGTAGGTCAGTTTGAAGGACACTCAAACAAAGTGGTTTCAGACTGATCACTTTGTTAAATATGAAGCGTAAACAAATGAGTATTTTATATATTGACTTTTGAAACTTTGTTTGATCCTACTAATATTATGTCTGTCTGTTACGATTTCACGCCTAAACGACTGAACTGATTTTAATGAAATTTGGTACAGAGGTGGAATTGACCTTGAGAAAGAACATAGAATACTTTTTATCCCATACTTTTGAAAGGTTCTCTTGGAAACGAGATATAACCGAACCCAACGCCGGCGAAGCTGCGGGCGGAAAGCCAGTTTATTATATACATATATGTTATATTAGAAGAAGAATATATATTATCTAATTTTTAATCAGGCTTCAAACAATATATTAAGACTATTACTATCGGGAAGAAGTAATGATAATTTTATCGTATTATTTCTGCTGAAACGAATTAAAAACCCAAATAAATTATCAACAGTTCTTGGAAACTTGGCATGTACCGCTTGTTATTTGGCCCGGGATAAACCAAGTTAGGCCAACGAAAGTTGGCATGGAGGACGCAAAAGAAAATTGATTGCTAACAAGGACCTCTTTAGTATAATTAAAATTTGTATTGAAAAATTGTACTGAAATCTCTTTAGATATTTTTGGCAAGTATAAAAATTCAATATATATAATGATTACTATATTGTTTTGATAGTAGAATATAAATAAGTCAGTGGTGGCCTAGTGGTTAAAGGGCCCGCCTCTCATGCACAAGGGCGCGGGTTCGATCCTGGCCCTGGCAAGTACCAATGTGATTTTTCCGAATCATATGTACTTTCTAAGAGTATTTAGACATCACTGATTAATGCATTCCCAAAGAGGGTTGATGTCAGGCAGGCGGGCGGTAAAAACAATTAACCAAAACTATTCAAAACATGTAAGGCAGACCCTGGCTAAAGCTGGGAAATCGCCAGGTAGAAGAAGAAGAAGTAGATTGTAATTAAGGTAAATAAAATTTATGCAAAATATAATTAGTCTCACCTCTTAGAATGTTAATAATTTACATACGTTAATGTAAGGTTCGAATTCCATTAAATTTAAAAGCATTTTGATACATAATATATTATTAAAGACATGTCTGTTTGTGAAAACCACCCACGAACAACGTATAGTTAGATAGTCAGTTAGTCAGTCAGTCAAGAGTAACAAATATACATTTTTTTAGTATACACGTTGATTATTATTGTAGTACAGAAAAAGAAACTTTGTATACTTAACATTACAAAGTTAATATCATTACTTCGAACACTAATAATCCATAACTGGACCATAAATTTGCAGTAAAATTACAATGACCGGCATAAAAGTGAAGAATCGGAATAATTTTAAAACTGAACTTTACTATGGCATTACTTGCATTGATACAGGAATAATATATAAAGAAATTTATAACGTAGTGTTATAATAAAAAAATATATAAGATTTATTGTTCATATGAAACTAATATTTTCGTGTTACAAAACGTTATAACATTATTTTGAAAACTACATACTCAAGAAATCTCATCTGTCCGTGATCACGGTTGCTGCAAAAAACCGAAATATACGCGTATACACGTACACACGACTCGCGTAGTATTCCGAAAATATTAGTTTCATTTAAATCAATACTTGCGAAATTCTTAGATTTCTTTAATTATTTAATTTCTTTCAAAACCTGAAATAATTATTGTAGTATTTAACGCTAAAAACACACTCCATCCACAATCATCACTTTCTTCTACCATAGGCAAACCATAACTCAAACGAACCAGCTAAATAACGGGACATTTCAAACTGATTAAAGTGTTTACATAATTAAAAACTTTTATTTATTTATAAAATTGGTATTAAAACTAAAAATAGCTTATGCAATGGTAACACTATTTACGATTTTATAGAGCACGGTTATAGCACTATAAAGTAAGCCGTAGTGTGACAGTCAAGTCTATTAAAGAGGTTTTAATATTAAAAAAAACTTAATATAACTGTGCTCGTATTTAAACCTATAAAATTTGTTAAATCTTTTTTACAATTTTTTATTATATTACATTCTTGAATGATTCTGGCAAAAATTGTAAAATAAAATGTGTCTTGATATGTATTTACATAAGAAATAAATACTTTTCGTCAATAAAAATCGAAGTATTTTTTAGTGAGACGATTGCTATTGAGGGACAATATTTTTTATAGTAAAAGGGTAATAAAGAAATACAAAAATTAAGATAATCCATTAAAAAAAACACCTTATCTTTATTTATTAATTTATGTACCAAAAGTAGAAATAGTTACATTATTATAAAAGAAATGTGATACACAAAGGATAATTTATCTCTTAGAAGAGATCTCTACCAGAAACCGTTATGGTAGAGGAAACTAGAAAAGAAAGGGTGGTTTAGGTACAATAAGAATAAGAGGATTTATATGCAGTTCATCATCAGTCTATCTGAGCCCACTGCTGAGCAAAGGCCTCTTTTCACATGGAGAAGATTTGAGCATTAATCACCACGCTTGCTCAAGACGGGTTGGTGATTTCTAACTTATAATTTGACATTATAAGTTCAGGTTTCCTCACGATGTTTCCCTTCACCATCTGTCAATGGTGTCTAAATACTCTTAGAAAGTGCATATGACTCGGAAAACATCACACTAGTACTTGCCAGGTTTCAAACCCGCGCCCTCACTCCTCATGCACGAGATGCGGGCTTTTAACCACTAAGTCACCAAGACTTGAAGAAAACAATCAATCCTAATCCATTAGCTCGTTAACAGTTTTACATTTGAGTAGTAAAACAGGTTTAAACATCACGGTTACACAATAAAGGGGACTTGATTGTCGGGCGGATTGAAACTTATATCTAAACACTAAATTAACAAGTCTTAAACGTAATTACTGTGTATACAAAGGAATTAATTTAAATATAGCCAAAGGGCTGGTTTGAAGCCGCTATTTGCAATTTATTTAAAGAAACAGTGAGACTTAGGAAAATCCTTTTTGTTCTAATCTTATACAAATATAATCAACGTTTTGTTATAAGAACAAAATGTCCTACGCCTAAGTTAATTTTAACATACTCGTATTAAATTGCGTAATTTTTTTATACGGTAATTTTTTGAACAGTAAATTTAAATGTGAATACAATGAATGATGAGAGGTTTCATCAATTCTCTATATCAATTAATTATCTTTAAAACCTTATTTATTAAATATACGATAACTTTACTTCTAACATGACCGTATTACTAATAAACAAATTATTGATAATCTTTTGATAATTCATAAGAAAGGCCACAATAGACACTTTAGCATCAACACTCCACTTTATTCGATAATAACTGTCGAATTATTTGAAAAATACGAAATAATTATACATGTTAAGAAAAATTTAAGGAGACATACATTCCTTGTATTCCAAATGAATAACTTTTTCAACTGATATTTTATAAAAAGATATAGAGGATTTACATACAAATATATTGATAATTTTTTGTTGGATGCTACCCGAAGTTCTCATTGTTACACTACATAAAGAGCATTAACAATTTTTAATTTATAAATCTTCCTGCATTGTAGTATACGTAGGTTATGTACTGAAAAACGGGAAACTCATCGTATGTAGTGTGACAATGGAAACTTGTGCTAAGAATAATAGTATCACCAGCTTAAATACATGACTTCAACAAACAACTAAATGATGCTGATCTATCAAAATTCTTCACTCATCAAGGAGTGATCAAATACAGGCTTGACATAAAATACAGAAGGTCGAAATTATGACCTTTCTTAAATTCAGCTTAAGATAAATATAGCAAGTTATTTTTATAAGGCTACGATTTTTTTCTTGTGAATATTCCTTTTTCTAAGTAAATGTACTATATTCTTTACCTATATAAATTAAATTTAAGCGTTAAATAAGTCAACACACGTGGCTATAAGTCGAATTAATGCAAGAAAATTTTTGAGATTTTAGAGAATTAAATAAATAATATATTATTTTTAACATTCGGTATAAAAATTACTTAAGTTCATGTATATCTGTTACATGAAACAAAAAAACCTTTAATAAATTCTATTGTAATCTAAACACAATTATTATTTTAATAATAAAGTTTTCATCAGATAATTTTTTGAATTAAAATATAAAAAAAGAGAATATATAATGAAAAATTCATCGCAGGATTTGAACCATGGACCAACATAATATCACTATTTAAAATATAAAGCGTATAGAACAGAAATATGTTAAGGTGGTAGAGCCTAGCTGTGGTTACGTTACTACAGCTCGAACATGTGCTGGCTCGACCGGGGAAGTACCACCCTCTCACAGAAGATCGGCGTGAAGTAGCCTTAATGGCTGCGTTTCGTCCGATGAGTGAGAGAGACGGTAGTCTTTTCTGTCTTTTCCTTATTCATATCCTTCTCTCTTTCTCAACAACCAAGGTAGGTAACGCATTCACAACATCTCTTATGTTATGGATGTCCATGGGTGACGGTGACTACTGCCCATAAAGTAGGCCGTCTACTCGTTTGCCACTTTTCTCATAAAAAAAAATATGAATCAATCATTATACCACTATATTCCGTAGGTTACAAGTTCGATTCCCGTTCGTATTAATATTTTTCAAACTATAATATACATTAATTTAATTCTTAAATATGTTTACCGTCTAACTTTATTTCGATTTCATTGAATAAAATTTTAGCTGACCTGATAGAAACGGAAAAACAACTGTTTAAAACTTTCAAAGCGTCCGTAAAGATTTACGCTGCGAGTATATTTGGCACCGTTTTCTGATATTTTGTCGTAAACTGAGATAAGCGTGAGAAAACTTAAAATGTACGTAATTTCATATACATAACACTATCACAGTTTAATAATCTATGTACCTATGTATTGTTTTATACAAAACATTGAAAGAGGATTTAACAATTAATGCGTAGGAACTCACATATGAATATTATTTCATTTAACGAATCTATAGATAATATATCTATAGATAAAAATAATTACAATAGGAAAACAATACATAATACTTCATTATAATAAATAAATAAAATTTTATTTATAAAAAATCATATTTAAGCCAGCAATATGTAATTACCAGAACTACTATATCCAACGCTTTAGCTACAATCGTAGCCAGACTGCATTTATTCCAGTGATAGAAATGACGTCACACGTTATGACGTCATCAAACCTTCATTCTGACATACATTCATAATGCCTTCACTCCTCATGTAATAATTATTTAATGGATTTACAGTATGGAGTCAGCTTCATTATACATCTTCATTCGCAATCGTATATAACTACATACACATATATACAGGGTGAATGGTGAATTACTATCGATATTTGAGGACGTGATATTTGACGATCATATATGACAAAATAAAAATTAATATAACATAAATATTAATAAACTTCTAAGTAAAGTTAACCAAAAGTTATGTAATTAATTACGCGTCGTGTGAACACCCTACAGATTAGGTATACACACACACTCACACATACGCGCGCGGAGGCGTGTTGTTGTATCAGCACGTCGCCGCACGCGTTCACACTTGGAACACTTGGAACGTGTACACACTTTATTTATTTATACGGAAATTTGGTCAAAAATTAAGTACCTATTTTTTTTACATAATTCGAATGAGAATCATGTACCGAGTATGCTCCTTAAATATTGATAGTAATTCACCAGTCACCCTGTATATGTATATATAAATATCTTAATCAACTGATCAGAAATATTAATCTTTTGAAAGAAGATTGATAATCTCAATTGTTTTAACTTATTAATATTTACTATATAACAATTAACTTTGTTATTTAAAACATATTTTTCTTAGACGCTCTTGAAAAGGATAAAATCGATGGGCCCTATGTGTAAGGGCCAATGTAGCAATTTAGCCATTTTATTTATATATATTTTTTGCTTTAAACACTTCATAATACTATGTTCTACAACATCCATTCACATGTAAAAGATACATTGAAATCAATCTTATAACGCCTCTACTAAAAAATTTTCATTTTGCACATTGGCCCTTATACATAGAAGGCATCGAAATATTGTTGGTCAAAGATTAATAATGTTTCAGAGATTTATATGTAAAAGATTTATCAACGTGGACCCGTGTGAATAAAGAAAATTTTACTAGTTGTAGTTAATAGTATCTATGAAATTATGAGACTAAAGTTAATACTTAGAATATTTTTATACTTAAATATTATCTTAAATACATAGTTTTTGATATATTTGTGCAGCGTATAGCTATAGTATATAGTTCAGTCAACCACTGATGTCTTTAATATTTCTCTCTTGTTTGTGTATAAATTTTAATTAACTTTAACGATATGTCCTTTAAATTGTGACCAGAATATGGAAATGAAGTTCGTACCATAACTTAGAGACAAATAAAAACATTATAAAATAAGTAAAAAAATTAAGGAATTTAATAAACTGATTAATTATTTAAGTACGAGTTTTTCGTTTGTAATGTTTTCTTATACATAAAACGACGAAACATAAATTTGCGTATTTTTCACCATCACTTTCTTTCATACGTCACTGTCAAAATATATAAATCGTCAAACAGTATGACTCAGAACACTCACCATAAACAACTATTATTAAAAAAACATTTATCGTATAAAATGTAAAAAAAATGTATTAAAATTTGATGCAAAAAAAAATCTTTTGTCTCTGGCAAGTTTAAGATTCTCGAATGAGAATATATTATGTATATATATTTGTATATTTATGTGTCGTAATACATTCCATGA